CGCAAGTCGGCTCGTACTATGTTTATACATTAGGGCCTAATCAAAATTATTTCTAAACCTGTCGTTTATCTTGTTAGTTTAATTTTTTAAAAATAATACATCGGCTTGATACGGAATATGAATATACATCCATATATTCATCATTAATGTAGCGTAAACATCTGTAGGGCCTATAAAATTACATTTTTAGCAATAAACGTTATTAACCAAATAAAAACTGAATCTTTCAAACAAAATATAGTAGTTTCAAACAAAATAGAGTAGTTTCCCTTGACAGTTTTCTATTCGTATGTATTTTATGTTGATTTATGTTTGTTTTTATAGCTGTCTTAAAGAATGTAAAAGTAAGTAGGTATGCATTGGTGTATAACATCCTTTTAAAACGTACGTAGGCGCCACAGTGCTCACGGGGAAGCCCTAGGCTGCTCCGGGTCACTCAATTACCCACAATGCAGGATACCAGTGCTAAGATAGCCGGTCTAGAACTCTGGGCGCCGAACCGTATACTAATAAAAATCGTACCATCCTTGGGTGCCGCCCTTAAGGAATTATGTTTTTTTTCTTTTTTAAAAACCTTCTCATCAAATCCTTAAAATTTAATGGCGCTCATAAGGATGGTGTCAAATCGGAACAGTATTTTATTTTGGGGGGGGGGGGGGGGGATCGCATAGCTTCCTACAAAGACGTCGCTCTTGTGAAATTGAAAAAAATTCCGCAGGAACCTCCACAAGAGTATACTCAACAAAAATGTTTTGGCGATTTGATTAAAGGTGTCGTAATTCATATAGAAAAATGGGACACAGATATTTTCATTTTTATAATATAGATACATGTATATTTCAACTAGTGTCCGCATCCCCGCCCCCTCGAAATTCAGTTAGCCTAGATCTACTAAAAAATATGAAAAGAAAAACAAATTGCACCTTTATAGTTAATGTGTATGTTTTATTAATCTTTACATAGACATGGAAGTGAAGTAAGTTATACATAAAAATCAAGATATCAAAATCGGAAGCAGAATATATAATTTTTTACTAACATTATTTAGTAGTCTTATTTTACACGTTCCAAAGAAAATAAGACAACAAAAGGCAGCTAATTAAAGAGTCCTATGCTACAAGTTCAAATTATAATATAATGCCTCCACTTTTTAATTATCATTTTATGTGAAGGGATGGTGGGGCTTATAGTCACAATTTTCTCTATTTGTTACACATGAACTCTTTAGGTTAATAAAATTTAAAAAAAAACGAACAAGTTAAATATAAACATTTTCATATTGATAAATTTGTAGTCCATACTGTTATTTTTTAGCTAGATTGATAGATTCTATTCTAAAAAATTAGATGAATATTACTAGCGGTAATGTTTACATAGTGAGAAACTATCAAAGTGGAAAGTAAGAGCATAATACATTTACTTACCTATTTCGTATAACTTGATAACTAAATCTTCAATATTGAAATCACTTTCCCTCCACAGGCTATTTATAACAGGAAAACCACCTACTGAGCTGATCAGGTCTAACAAAGGCTTAGCTCCCCTTTCGTCCATTTTACCTAAATCATATGCACGTGACCAATAACTAGTACAATACATCGATAATAAAAATGTACAAACATTTTAAAATTTGTGGACAAGATAATAATTTTATCTTTCCTCGATATTAACGCAATGATATAACAGGCGGAACATTAAAATCATAAAAAATCCCATCCAAATGTGTGAAGCCTTTAACCTCTCGTAAGTAAAGTTCCCTTTTCAAACCTGACGGTCTATAGGGCAAGTGAAGTAGAGTTCACTTGTTTCTGTAACCTCGGCATATGAAGAGATAGTGTGGTCAGCACTATGCCTACCCGCCTTGACTCTCCCTAACGTGAGTTAGGTACCGATCAGTGCTGGGTGAACTCAAGGACGGTTCACAGACTTGAACCCGGATTCGAACACCAAACTCCGTCCCACTCATAAACGAAGAAAATAAAAAGTATTGTAATCATGCACAAAAATCGAAATGGAGATTTTGATAAATATTCACGTATGTGTGTTTATGAATAGGATATCTTTTCAGTTAGTAATGGCGAAATTTCATAATTCAATTTTAAATCTCCGTTAAATTAACGTAGTAAACGTTGTTTATGTGTGTATTTCTACGATATAAAAAAAAACAATAAAAAATGTAATATGATTGCAAATTTTCTTTTACAATTCACAATATTAAACGCTCGATGTTTTTTATGGACATTAAGAAGATGAAGTATGTATTTAATTTGACCAAACCTGTGTTCATGCAAGCAGAATAGTAGGTCTCTGCTACTGATTCATAGACTGGGTCACTTTCAAGGGTTTCGTTGCTAAGCAAATCTGTGAAAGCAGTACACGTCTCTCTAATACACGTTATGAAAAATGATCTGCACATTTATAAGCTTTTATTAAGTTCACATTGTATGGTTGTTTTTACTTTCTCGTATACAGAGTATAGATGAAGTATATTAATATAGAACCAAAATTTAATGAAATTTTGACAGCTTTCGCCTTTTTACCCCTCACTGTTTAATCGATTACGGAATTTTCATTCGTGAAAAAATAGAAATAGAGATTATTACAAATTGTGTCATTTTTCAAAATTTCGATTCCGGAAAATATAGTTCACCAATCCTGTTCGTCCGCGTGTGTGTGTGTGTGTGTGTGTGTGTGTGTGTGTGTGTGTGTGTGTGTGTGTGTGTGTGTGTGTGTGTGTGTGTGCGTGCGTGTATGTTTTTGTGTGTGTCTGTCTGTAAACACTATAACTATAGTGCCGGTTTAGTTACGTTGACCAAATTTCACATGTAAGTATTTTATCTAATGTATAGATTTCAGTCAAATTTTATAACCGGAAGTGGTGCAACAGTTAAAGCCTACAACTTAAGTATCATAACAACAAGTTAACTAACATTAGATTGTAAGTTGATTGTTTCTATTAAAAATTGAACAGAAGTGTCACTTCGCTCTGTTTCTGCCGGAGAACTCGAGAACTGTTTTAGTTCCGTAGGAAAAGTTTCATATATAAATAAAAGATTTTATTCTTAATTTGCTTTCAAACTTCAAGCGACCTCCCATATCTGGAAGTGGTACTTTACCTTTCAGCCTGGATCCAACTTTATCACGAACACTTAAGAAGGATCCTATCATGGAAGAATCATCAGGAAGGTGTGTGTTTTCTAACCATCCACCGCATGAATAACGATAGAAGTCTTCACACGGATCCACATTCAAATCCATGTGAGCTTTTAAAGCACTTGCTATTTTGAAAAAGTAAATAGTGAGTTAGTAATACAATTACATAAGATTGTGAGGAAAGACTCAACAAAACGAAGAATACCAATATATTACTGTTAACAATTTTTTTTTACAGATTCCTCAAATAAATTACTTTTCTATATGTTAAATTTGTAATGAAAAACCTAAAGTTTACTATCGAATTTAAGTGGGTATTAAGTGGGTATATAAAGAATATATAGAATATACAGAATATATACAATTTACAGAATATATATATATATATATATATATATATATATATATATATATATATATATATATATATATGCCTACATATGGCATATACAGAAATTCTAAGCATATGTATATTTTAAAAGGTTAAAGGCATTAATACACTTCTATTCCTAAAATTTCTTTTTAAGACAATGAGTTAGTTATAAAGAGTTATACTTGCGTCATTTTTTTTTGCATTGTTAGTACTAAGAATAAAAACAGTGTAAAACAGAATATAATTTCATTTTATGTAATAAAGTATACAGAGGACGTCTTTTTAATTTTCACATTTGCAGTTAAATATATAAATAGGAAGGTGTCACAAATCAGCTTACCCGACTTACACGCTTCACTTTTACAAACACGAGTCTTCAATGGATCATCCGATGTGGCTTTATGTATATATATATATATATATATATATATATATATATATATATATATATATATATATATATATATATGTATATATATATATATATATGTATATGAGGTTTTAGTAAACAAAGTAAGATTTTTAAAAAAAATGTAAATGTGAGCAGTAAAAAATCCTACAGAAATAAGTTGTTTCAGAAGTTCCATTCGTGGAGCTTTCAATCGGTGGTTCTTGTGTTTCAGTTGAGGTCGGTGTTGCAGGGCTCGCTGTTAAATTGTTAATTCACAGAAATATAACAGACTTGTTAAAGCTAGTATATATAAAAAAATATACATCTATAATGAATAGGGTGACTTTTTAATACCTGTATGTATTGAGAATCTAATATTAGCAAAAAAAATATTAATTAAAGTGAACTCACAATTTGTACAGTTTTCACATTCGCCTGCAACTTCATTTCCTATAATATAAATTTTAGCAGTTTTTGCTTATATAACTAATTCTTAACGCAAACAAAAAATAATAGTTAAAAAATTAGAAAACCACGATCACCATTATACACACACATACGATTCCTAATTATATTTTCTTGTTTCTGTTTAAAAGTATAATAAATTACTTATTGTTTCTGTTTTGTCTTTTACATACTCGATATTTTATTAGTGACAATAAAGTTGATGAAACACGTATTTTTAAAAAAGTTACATCTTTTATTGCTACAGTCATTCTTACCATCAATGTTGTTTGTGCTAACCGATGCTGAAAATAAAAAATAAACAGTTTAACCCCAAAAAATACCCTTTATAGCTGGTAATAATCTACAGTTTAAGGTATTTTAAGTTACATTTTTTTTAGATTTGGTTTTTATTTTTAAAATTATTAGGTGTACTTTTAATTTCCTTACATATTTGATCGATATTTTTGTTTAGCCACAAATAAACAAGGCCGATAAACTTAATTACCCTTTGATGAAGTGTCTTTGAAATAAGTAAAGATGAAAACTGCCATGAATATTTCAAGGAGGAAGATGAACAAAATAACAATCAAAGGCTTTAATATGTTCATTTTGATGGTATCGTGCGCAGATGATATTACAGTATGCCTTGCTTATCTCTCCCGATGACCATATGTTGTAACCTGAAAGAAAAATCGGAGTTTTTAAAAGATTTGGACTATATAAGAAATAGACATGTACACCCACACCCACACGCACACCTACAACTACTCCCACACCGACACCCATTCCCCCACCCAAACCCATACCCAAACCTAGACCCCCACACTTACACCTACACTTACACTTACACCTACACCTACACCTACACCTACACCTGCACCTACACCTACACCTACACCTACAGCTACACCTACACCTACACCTACACCTACACCTACACCTACACCTACACCTACACCTACACCTACACCTACACCTACACCTACACCTACACCTACACCTACACCTACACCTACACCTACACCTACACCTACACCTACACCTACACCTACACCTACACCTACACCTACACCTACACCTACACCTACACCTACACCTACACCTACACCTACACCTACACCTACACCTACACCTACACCTACACCTACACCTACACCTACACCTACACCTACACCTACACCTACACCTACACCTACACCTACACCTACACCTACACCTACACCTACACCTACACCTACACCTACACCTACACCTACACCTACACCTACACATTATTACAATCACAAGAACAGCTTCAAGTACAAGTACACGAACAACTTAGTACAAGTACAAAAAACACGTACACGTACAAAAAACACGTACACGTACACGTACACGTACACGTACACGTACACGTACACGTACACGTACACGTACACGTACACGTACACGTACACGTACACGTACAAAAAACACGTACACGTACACGTACACGTACACGTACACGTACACGTACACGTACACGTACACGTACACGTACACGTACACGTACACGTACACGTACACGTACACGTACACGTACACGTACACGTACACGTACACGTACACGTACACGTACACGTACACGTACACGTACACGTACACGTACACGTACACGTACACGTACACGTACACGTACACGTACACGTACACGTACACGTACACGTACACGTACACGTACACGTACACGTACACGTACACGTACACGTACACGTACACGTACACGTACACGTACACGTACACGTACACGTACACGTACACGTACACGTACACGTAAGTAAAAGATCTAATTCGCTGCGTTCATTCAAATTTTGAATAATTTCCGTTGATTGGAAGTAGTAATTGAAGTTATTTTTTCGATTTCTACAACTACAACTACAACTACAACTACAACTACAACTACAACTACAACTACAACTACAACTACAACTACAACTACAACTACAACTACAACTACAACTACAACTACAACTACAACTACAACTACAACTACAACTACAACTACAACTACAACTACAACTACAACTACAACTACAACTACAACTACAACTACAACTACAACTGCAACTGCAACTACAACTACAACTACAACTACAACTACAACTACAACTACAACTACAACTACAACTACAACTACAACTACAACTACAACTACAACTACAACTACAACTACAACTACAACTACAACTACAACTACAACTACAACTACAACTACAACTACAAATACAACTGCAACTGCAACTGCAACTGCAACTGCAACTGCAACTGCAACTACAACTACAACTACAACTACAACTACAACTACAACTACAACTACAACTACAACTACAACTACAACTACAACTACAACTACAACTACACTTACAAGTACACTTACAACGACTATTACAACTACAACTACAACTACAGCTACAATAACACATGGATACAGTGTCAAATTTTTAACTGTCACTTATCCCAGTTTCTATGTGACACATTGTCAAATGGGCAGCTGTCAAAATGTGTAGACCGTTGTATACTACTGATTTTACCCAGCTCTATTGTGTACCTGTTATGATTGAACAACAACCACGAATCGACTAAGTTCTATTGTATAACAAAGTCGAAGAACGTAAATGAGAATTGTGTACATTGTTCATACCCATATCCCATAACAATATTTTAAAATGGCGATGTTGGAGAAATATACTAAAAAAACTCAACTTAACCTGCCGCATTGGTCATCTAGAGTCTAAACTAAAGGATAATTAAATTTTATTAACTAACTACAAATTTAGTTAAACGCTGGTTTATGTGATAGGCTAGATTTCTGTTTTGATTTGTTTATCGTACAGATCTAGATATTTAAGTCAATCTCACCTCTCATAGCTGGTTATGGTTCCATTACCTTGCTATTGGCGTTCATTTTAGAAAATATTTGACGCATAATTTGAATTTCCGTTTATTTATAATTTTTATTATGGTGAGAAAAATCAGAATTGTTGCCGTAAAAGTACGTAGAAAAAGGTAATTTTATATAAAAGCGGAAGTTATCACTCCTAAAATTGTTCGAATATATTTATTTAACACTAGGGGGGGGGGAAGGGCAGCTCGGGATATAGACACGATTTTTACAAGCTTTTATTTAACTCACTTCCTCGTCAGTCTGTCGACAGTCTGTCGTCAGTCTAGATCGAAACGCTGGAGTGAAAATTCGGACAGTTCTACTTGACCGATAAAATTCACAGTTGGCACGTGGGTCAAGACATGAAGACAATGCAATCTGAAACTAAATTTGATTTAATTGGATGCCTAATTAATTTTTTATGAATTAATTAAAATTTGGACCGAATTAGTAGGCATGTCTATCCAACCACACCACACGCGTCATCACGTTCAATAGCTGCGCCATCAGGTTCAATAGCTGCGCCATCACGTTCAATAGACGCGCAATGGTTTTTAGTCATGTAACACTATTGTAAATAAAACATGTAAAGTACTGGAAAAAAAATTAATAAAAAAAAGTTTTAATAACAAGCTTTTATGCACTAACGCACTAAAAAGTAGAAAATAAATTATACACTACTATTTAAATTACTATAAAGAAAAGCGTGGGTCTCTTCTCAAATATTAATAAAGGTATCCAATAGGAACTAAAGTGCTAAAGTGACACACGCTTTTCTTTATAGTAATTTAAATAGTAGTGTATAATTTATTTTCTACTTTTTAGTGCGTTAGTGCATAAAAGCTTGTTATTAAAACGTTTTTTTATTAATTTTTTTTTATCAATTTTTAAATACTTTTAAAAATATAAAAGAATCTCTTAGAAAAAAGAATTGCGCACCGACTGAATAGTACACAATCTGTATTAAATAGTGCGGAATGTTAGTACTATATAAATTCCTATACGTTTTTTGAGAAATCAGAAATAGCATAAAATAGTAGTCTACTTACGGTCACTAAAAATTACTCAAAATTCGAAAGAAAAACAGGGCACTTTTACTTAGATCTACAAGTGAAATTACATCTATCAGAATCAGTACTCAAGTAATAATCTTTTGAAAAACCAAAAGTAGAACAAATTCAACCTCCAATCGCTGAAAAGTTGATACAAAACTACACATTTGATATAATAATAATATGCGAAACTTATTCTGTATTCAATCTTTTGAAATCCTATAAATTGAGTATTATTTCAGATAGATAATTGAAATTTCACATGCAAGAAAAAGATCTAATGCGCTGCGTCAATTCAAATTTTGAATAATTTCCGTTGATCGGAAGTAGTAATTTACGTTTTCTACGATTTTATCAAATACAAAAATATTACGCACAATTATACACATGTTTCGATCAATTCTTTTTTCTACAAGATTCTATTTTAAAAAGTTTAGCTAATTATAAATGAATTAAAAATCATGTATATATCCCGAGTTGCCATACCCCTGTTATATAAGATTCGAGAAAGTTTAGGGAAGATCACTCTCGGTTTATTTTTAATGGGTAAACATGGTTACACGTAACTGGAACAACATTGTAACAATTTGAAACATTAGAATTCAGCTACAACTGAAAACATTCCGACGCAACTGTATTAAAGAGTCATAATCACACACCACTTATACAATAAATGTAAGCCACAACATGTAGGCATACACCAGAAGAAGCAGGAAAATTGGAGTTGCAGGGCGCTTGTGAAGAACATAATATTTTTAATTTAGTCCTCGTTGATTTGAAGTTATGTACAGCTGGTCTCAGACTAGACTTAAACTGTATTATCTTTCATGTCGCTTAATGTTTAAGCGGATTATGGTAGTTTTATCTAAATCATCTTCAACTGATATCAGATGTTAGTTTGTAATAACAATCGGAGTTATCAATTTTTTAAAATCTATTACCTTAATATGCATATTCTAATTTAAACTGCCCAATCATTACGCATGCAAACATTAAACAAAACGCAATTGATGTTTTGGATTTTTAATTACATTCGGTGTAGCAAAAGGCACAACATTTTGTCTATGAAATTAATTATTGAACTCAAAGTAATGTTTACATTTTCATTTTAAATTATAATTATAATTTTAACACTTTACACTGATGGATGGTTTACGCTAAAGTACAACTTGCTTACAATATTAATTTTCAAACAGTAATACGGTAAACTTTCAAAAAACGTAGTAGTCTAATTGTAAAATTAAAATTAAAATGAATTTTAACAAACAGTATTTTTTTTCTTTCTGTTAAATGTGAAAAATAAAATTTTCAAATTTAAACGTTTCGTACTTCAATCTTTTCAGTATGCTTGTATTATCTTGTTCAGTTTCTTTAATATTATTCCGAAATTATTTTATTTCACAATTTAAACTATATACAATAAATTGTATTCTTTTAAAAACCATGCTGTTTTAAGCTGTTTTTAGGAGTTTATCCTAGTAATTTAATTCTTGCTAAAGCTAAATATCCCTGTCAATAAATATGGCTTAAAATTTCACTAAAATTATCTTTACTAATTTACACTGGTGTAAAGTGACAGAGCATTCCATCAAATCAATGTATGAGATCCTGACATTTTCTAGCCTTCCCTGAAACATTCAACAATATATATATATATATATATATATATATATATATATATATATATATATATATATATATATATATATTTATATATATATATATAAAACCATTTTTATTTGCAGACGACAATGAAAAAACATCATAAATTAAAACACAGACACAATTGCAAACACACATATATTAGAAAATCTGTTAAGTGGGGATGGAGAGGCTTTTGGTGTATATGGTGATTAATTCAGATATAGGACACATTATCTCAGTACACACTTCACAGTGAAAGATATTTCAGAACAAATTATAATGCCGTTAAAAACTCGTAAAGACGAAATGTGGAAAGTGTGAAAAGAATTAATATACATTTTGAAATGCTTGTGGGGTCGGCGTGGTTGAGTCTATAATGCTCATGGTTGCTAAACAAAAAAAGTCTCGAGTTCGAACTCTCGGGCAGATGAGGCTCTTTAGCTGGGGACAGCCACTCTTCTTGGAGAGACAACTCCAAAATCAAACAAGTGCTGCCTTGCAGTTTGTTCTTGGTTGGACAAAGGCTATTGAAGCAAATCTAAAAAGAAAAGCAGGCTGAACTCGGAGACAATGGCCTCAATAGCTCATCACCAGTTAACACGTAACGCTTAATTGTGTTGGAGGTCATCTCTTCCAGCACTAAAATTAAGAACGAAGAAGAAGAAGAAGAAACGCCTGTGCGAGTCGCAACTCTAAGACATCAATGTTGCTATAGTTTACATTTTTTACATGGCTCTTTATTTTTCAAGTTCTTCCTTTTGAACTCAATAGTTTTAAATACAATTTTACAAAAACAAAAGGAAAAAAAAACATAACTAGACATATTTTCTATATCTAACTTTTCGCAAACGTTTCATACACATCACATCACGATAGTTTCAAATTGTAATGACACTGACAGTCGTGTTTTCCTCCAACTCAATAAAGTAAAAACTTTCAAACATACTTGTTAGGAAATTATTATTTCTCTACAGCTTTTTTACTTTCTCGTATACAGGAAGTATAGAGAAAGTCTTGTAATCGTGCAGAAAAAAATCAAGATTTTTACAAATCTCGACGTTTTACACCTCACTGATACGGAAAAACATAATTTTGAAATCTTGTCCGTATGTCTGTGTGTCTGTCTGTGTGTCTGTTTGTGTGTCTGTCTGTGTGTAAACACGATAACTTGAGTACCGTTACAGCTAGGTTGATGAAATTTCATATATAAGTATTTTATCAAAATCGTAGATCCTGATCAACTTTTGAGCGATTTCCCATAACCGGAAAAGGTACTTTATCTACTTTGAAATTTTCAATAGCCTATAACTTGAGTACTATTTCAGATAGATAAATGAAATTTCACATGTAAGTAAAAGATCTAATTTTCTACCTTCTGTAAGTTTTGAGTAATTTCCGTTGACCGGAAGTACTAATTAAAAATCATGTCTATATTCCAAATTATATAAGAATATGCGAGAAAGTTTAGGGGAGATCACTTCCGGTTTATTTAATGTGCCTCGGCATAAATGATTCCACTAAAAAGCAATTGGTGGGAAAATCTTGGTAACTATGACAACGGTGGCTATCTTGAAAAATTTACCACTTTGTAAGATTTCCACCACTAAATTTTTAGGAATTTTTGGGCATTAAATTTAGTTTTTTTAGCGGACCCACAATTTGAAAACTCATTATAAATTAGTATGTAGATCTGCACTTACATTTGAGTACCGCAAAATAAAGTAGAAGGTTATGAATTCATTGTTTGTTTAGCTTAAAGTATAATACTTTTAAAATAATGGAAATCCTCCCAAGCTGTAAAGAAAAAAAATGTTTGCTCTAGAATTGTAATTTTTTTTTTTACCGGAGTCTATCCCGTTAAGTAAAACTTGTCAATATTGTATGCGCCATTTAGCCCGTTGACACAGATTTTAGCCTGTTTTTCTTTGTAAAGTTGTTTCTATACCTTTTGAACAAACTAGAAGGCAGTAGTTGTTTGATTTTGGAGTTTTCTCTCCTAGATGGGTTGTCGTCACCGGTTGTCAAGCCTTATCTACCCAGAGGTTTGAACTTGGGGCTTTCGGTTTAGCAGCAATGAGCTTTACCTACTCAACAAAGCCTACCAGCGCTCAAAGATTTTATCCAACAAAAAGCAGTTTTCAATAGTTTTATACCGCTTATTTTTTAAATATTTATAAAATGAATTTTATTCTTATGATTTGTAATTACGGCCCTTAAGACATAAACAGTCGACTAAGGACAGATTGGCTAAAAATGTTGGTTTCAAAAATAGATATATCTGAAAACGACTCGTTCTGTAGTTTAGTAGGCCTACAATCCCAAGAGGTTAAAAACCATTTATAAAGTGACATTATAATCAAATTACGGTGTATATCTTATTACCAAGTGTTAACTTATTCAACTGGAAATAGCGTACTATAAACAACAAGGCTTCTAAACATTTTGTTTGTATCTAAGCGATACTTTCAATTTGTATATAAACTCATGTATTATATTTATGTAATTTGTAAAACTTAAACGATTGTCGAAAGGAATGTTATTTTGTATATATATATATATATATATATATATATATATATATATATATATATATATATATATATATATATATATATATATATATATACGTATGTATATATATATATACATATATGCAAGTGTTAAACACATTTACATTTTAAAATATATTTTCCTGAAACTTACAAAACAGTATTTATGTCAAACAGTTGACACTTATGCTCAGGATTCATGGTGGAGTTGATCTTACAATTGAAAGCTTTAGCAAAATAGGGAGAGTTGCTGATTGGTCCTTGAACACTGATTTAGATGGGGGAAAAAAACATAATTTAATAATGCGTATTATGCGTTTTCGTCTTATCATCGATGCTTGTAGAATATATAATATGTACAGAAATACGTGTTAACAATTCAATGGATATGAGTAAAAAGCTAAGCAAAAATACGCAACATAATTTATTTCATGTAATATGATCGACGATACTGATAGAAACTGAAGTCGCATTTAAAATGTTACAGATTAAAACAAACGTTTTTACCGAACGTTTCCCTGAGAATGGCGTTCATGCTCTATAAACTGTTGATGAAATCCCTCTTTTACTTTGGAACACCAGAGCTGAAAATTGGAAACATAATTAATTTTTTTTTACTACCTGTATTCACATGCAAAGAACTTACAACAGGCATTCTTAAACGGCCGCTAGTTTAACGATGCAACTAAAAAGTATGGTTACAATTACATTTAAAATGTTTAGTTCCAGCAATAAATTCCATATTTTATCAAAATATGTAGCAAGCTGCTTCTAAACGAAGAGAGTGGCGGACTTGGAGGGTGGGGGGGGGGGGGGGGCGGGGGGAGGCAAATATCTCTAGAGAAGTCCGATAACTATACGTCTAATTCATTTCCTCTTATCAAAATAGAAATATATTTTACGGTATATGAATTAACAAAATATTAATTACAAATTTGTATTTTGTTTATTATGGTCGCGTGAATATTTAAAAGTCAATATTCAAAAGTATACATACTTTTTGCTATATTAACTCGACACTGGTTTTTGTTTTTCTCAAGCACTTAAATAATTAAATGAATAGTTTATTTTAAAAGTATGTATAAAAGTAAGTATAAAATATAAGTTTACACAAAGAACGTAAAAGTAAAAATATTCATTCATCTTCAGACCTAACTATCCAATATACTATAAAGTGGAGTTCATATGTTTCTTGACCTCGGCATATAAAGGGATAGCGTGGTCAGCGCAACGCCCAGTCGCCTCTACTTTCCCTAACGTGAGTTAAGTACCCATCTGAGTTGGGTGGACTCAAGGACGCTCCACATACTTGAACCGGGATTCAAACCTATCGGATTAGCAGTCTAGCGCTCCACCCCTAGGCCACACCGTCCCATACGTAAAAAAAGTTAATTTTAATTATTTTATTTAGAAAGAATATTTATACGTTAAGTACCTTGTGCCATCAGGGTAGTACGCTGGTTCTTCGAAGATACCAGCTAGAATATCTAAGAAAACATAAAATATAAACTTTTTCCAGTGCCTGCAATCCGAACATTATGAGATCCCCACCTTCTCGTGTATTTCAAGCATCCCTTCCCTTCCCTCTGATTAAAATATCTGGAAAAAAAATCCTTTTTAAAAAAAAAACCTGATTACTCACTTTAATTAAACTTGTGGTGTTGCGATTGCGAGATAAGTGAATCCACTTTTCTATTATGAAACATAATGTAAGCTTTCCTTTAAAAAATGGATTTATTATAATATAAAATTTCATCATCATCATCATCATCACTCCTTTATGGCCCCTGGGGAGCAAAGGGCTGCAACCACACATCTCCAGCGGACTCGGTTTTGGGCTGCTCCTCTAATCTGTGCCCATGAGAGCCCAGCTGTTTTTGCCTCTTCCTCAACCGTTCTCTTCCATGTTTTCTTTGGCCGGCCCACCCTCATTTTCCCCTGAGGATTCCAGTCCAATGCATGTTTTGCGATGTTTTCTTTTTCTTTTCTTAACGTGTGTCCGATCCATCCCCATTTTCGGGCTTTAATATCCTTCTCTATTGGCTGTTGCTTTAAAATTTGCCACAAGTTTTTGTTTGATATTTTGTCTGGCCATCTTATTTTGAGTATATGTCATAGGCATTTGTTTACGAAAAAAAAAATTTATATTAATATAAAATTTACTTGACTATATTGGAAAAGTAATCCAATTGAGGGTTAACTTACACATGCTGTTGGATCGAGGATGGTAATGAGCGTTAACGACAGATGTGGATGTGAGCCATCTGCGGAGAACAGCGCAGAATTATAGCTATATCAAAACACTACGAAACTGTTAATATTTTTTTAAAAATCTTTTACAACAGCTAAGTACTTTTACAATTCTATTTCACTTACTTCTCATTTTCTACATCTCCTGCCAAGATATTTAAATTTTCCAGTGCTTTGTTTTTTACCATCAGCATAGACAGATCGAAGAACCCGAGACTTTTGTATCCGGGCTGGAAGATCTGAGGTGACATTTTCAAAAGGATAAGAGGCATCGCCATGGGTTAGCGGAGGGGTACAGACCGGGAGACACTAATTAGGGCGCGTGTGGTGACGGGGGGGGGAGGATAACACCAAAGGGAAAACTTGAGAAAATTAACAGAAAATAAATGCGACCTCTTTTAATCATTAGTGACAGTTAAAAAGTCTTTTAAGCACCAATTGGTGTCTGTTTGGAATAAGGGGGGGGGGGGGGTGACTAGCTTAATACAGAAATAAATATTGCAGGGGATTTCACACGACCTAGAGGCGCCACTGATAAGGATATATGGGTTTTCTTTTTTTTTAATGGATTTTTTTATTCAATTATTTACATCAGAAACGACAATGGTAAACACTTGCCTTCTAAAATTTAAAAACATAATTTACAAAACAAAGGAGATCAGTAGCGAACCAGAAAAGAACACACTAACATAGTTCTAATAACAAGTATTCATCCTAATATATAAAAGCCCATGTGCGCACTTCTCTCTCTCAATCTCTCTCTCTCTCTCTCTCTCTCTCTCTCTCTCTCTCTCTCTCTCTCTTTGACCGCCTTTCCCGAGCCTAAGAGATCCTTATCTTCAAAGATGTAAAGAAATCTTAAAGATACGAACTTTTATAAAAATGATATGTTGGGTGTTTTTAAATGTATAAAGTTAATTTTATATAAAGAAAGAAAGAAAATATAAACTCAAGCAATATTCGAATGTAGAAACACATTTGTAATTATGCAATCGGAAAAGTATAACAATAAAAAAATATAGACACATAATTCACGTGAAGCGTGTTCCCATGGCTAGTATGGTTTAAAAACAGAATGTTTACTTGCAAAGTATTACTTAAATATCAAGTAAATTACTTTCTGAGAGAAATTAACTTACATTAGAGTAGTATGCGTTGAGTTTATTATCATCTAATAGATAGTCTGGATATCCAACATTGAAACCCATTGCTGATAGCTAATGTAAATTATATATATATATATATATATATATATATATATATATATATATATATATATATATATATATATATATATATATATGTATATATTTATATACATATATATGTATGTATGCATGTATGTATGTGTGTGTGCGTGCGTGCTTGCGTGCGTGCGTGTTTATATGAGAGTGTGTGTGTGAGTGTGAGTATGCGTGCGTGCGTGCATGTATGTATGTATGTATATATGTATACTTAATAATAAATACTTATTATATATATATATATATATATATATATATATATATATATATATATATTGGTACAATTGTTATGTTCGGTGAAGTTCACAAGCCGTAACTTTTTGTCAGGTATAAATACACTTCGTACTAAAAACAATACGTCTGAAAAACACATGCGTTAGTGTTTTTGGAGCTTGGACTGTTTGATGGCATTTCAATCAATTGTAATGGAGGAAATTCCTTTCAGATACAAGCTATTTAACATACGAGCAATGTTCCTGAAACTCGTATTAAGAGGTACCACTGTATACAAAAGGTTAGGTTACTATCGACTACTTGGATTTTATAAATAAATAAATATATATATATATATATATATATATATATATATATATATATATATATATATATATATATATATATATATATATATATATATATATATATATATATATATATATACATTTAAAAAACCGCCCTTACTTTAGTCTGTGCTCGTGCCTTTGTTTCGTTGGACAGCCAAGCATTTTTCTCCAATATCTCATGAAACGTCGTTTTGATATCTTTGATCATATCAGTAACCTAAAACACGAAGTGTGAGTTTTTAGCAAGATTATTTTTTTTAAATATTTAAAACATTTTTATAAACGATAATTTTTTTTTTGAAAGTTGTAAATTATATTATTTTTTCATTGTATTTGTGTATTATTATATAAAAAAATATGTTTAGCCTGAGTAAACATGTTATGTATTCAATTACTCCAGACAGTTGGTGTTAATGTAAAACAAAAACGGTGTTCTTTAATCAACAATGCATACAAAAATTTAATATGAATTATTTACGTAGCGATACAAAACTGTAAGTTATTAAGGATCATCTTATATTAAATTAAACTAAAGACAACATCAAAATCATATTCTGAAATTGAAATAAGAGAGAATTTAATTATAATACTATTAAACTTTGAAATGTTCTACATTTTGAAGTTATACACAACTCACGAAATCTTTATCCTTTTTTCTGAGGTATTTATTCACATACATCCGACCCACAGCCTCTGGAAGTTTCTCCTCCGTAGCTTTTACACATATCTTCCATCTTTCATTAGTAGGTATTTTCAATCCATTCTGTAAATGTAAGGAGTTGAAATTTCTACAATAGCAGGTAATCGAAATTATTACAACATTATAAACCCGAGATTTCTACAACAGTAAGAACACAAAATGTCTACATCAATAAAAAAACAAAATTTCTACAACAATAGAAAAACAATATTTCTACAACGATAGAAAAACGAAATTTTCATGGTTATGTTTATTCTTATTTATTCCTGACCTCAGTGATGGTAACATTAACTGAGTTAGAGAAAACTACAAAAAGCAAAATACACATTTTTAGAGAATAATTAAATGAATAAATCTTATTACATTTTGAACTACGCATTAAATTATGTTATTAAAATACATTTTGATAATTATTGTGAACACCATACCTCTGTGAATGTTTCATATTAATGTAAGGAGATCTATTATATTTAAATCAATACCTACTGTAGGATATTTTTCAGTTAACTCCCTGAAACGATTGTCCAGGAGATCGCTAAACGTTAGCAGACACGACATCATGTAATTAGCCATAGCTCTGGTAATGCAACAAAAGAACAACACTTAAGCTTTTACACCGACACGGGTAAATATTATATATATATATATATATATATATATATATATATATATATATATATATATATATATATATATATATATATATATATATATATTTACCCGTGTCGGTGTAAAAAGGTGGTGGTAGTGTGTCATTCAGACAGTCCGCCCGTCCGTCATCGCTATAACTTTAGGAACATAAAAGTGAACAACAGCACATGCAGTGCATTTTACTTGCATCGAATTATCTTATCTATAATAATAGTTTATCTGGCTATGTATCAGTCTATATCTCAGTGTTTGCGTTGTGTTTGAGTTTGAGTTTGCATTCGTGTTTGTGCTTGCGCTTGTGTTTAATTTTATTTTGTTCTCAAGTTGGTAAATTTAAAAAAAGAAGATTGACCGTGGCGGAGCACGGGTATGCAGCTTGTAAGCCTATATAAAAATTGTGATGACGCAAGGCATACGTCATAGAGGTCAAGAAATAGATGACAGAAACAGAGCATAGTGTAGTCAGGTAGACCAGTAGAATAACAGGAGATGACCGGTCACGTGGGACGGTGGGATGACCACTGAATCGTGGGCCAGCAGTTTGAGATAGGTATAGAGGAAAGATGTAAAAAGTTAAAATTTACTGTAAGAGTTGGTCATGGGAGCGTATAGGAAAAGTCAAGTGTTAGTTGTAGTTAGATAGTTTTAATAGATAGTTATTTATTAGGACGCAGTTATGGTAGGAGTAGATTTGATGTATAAATAAAGAACTGTATTATATTAAACGAGCCAACCCGCGGCATATCATGCGCCGCTATTTTCTACTTTTCAGTAATTCATAATTTGTGAATTCGACAGTACCAATGCAGCCACTGAATATATTTGCTTTAGAACACTATCAGTAGCTCGTTAAAGACGATAACCCCCCCCCCCCCTCCTTTCCCTAACCCTACCACCCCCCTGAAAGCAGCCTCATCTTAGTTACCTCCCCTAAGTTTAAAATCTTTTCAAACTAAATTATCTGCCCCTAATAGCCGTCACTAAACCAGGCTCTACGATTGTAAACATTTAGCGTGAAAAACAGCTCACCAGACCATGTAGGGGTGGGGTGGTAGGGAGCGCTTACAGCTTGGTGTTTTCTAGGATCTCCAAGAAGAGAATTATATATATATAGATTGGACCTTTTGTTGATTCCGCAAAACTTTACCAGGCGTATATATGGCGAGGGGATCGCCGTAGAGAGAATGTGTATCATATTCTCATGACGGAACATTACATCATATATATAACTTTCCCAAACCCGGTATCACATTTGGTGGATTTCAACCATTATATATATATATATATTATATATATATATATATATATATATATATATATATATATATATATATATATATATATATATATATATATATATATATATATCCTAACCTTTTAGATGTAGAGTTCAGTATATCTGCCAGCTGATCTAAATACCAGTCTCGCTCTAAGAAAACTGTGTCCGTCGATTCAATGACGACATTTCCTTTTGCCCCAATCGCTTTCAATACTTTAAGCCAATCAAGCTAGAAATAAAAACAGTACCACTGTTTATGCTCGAATATTTATTTACTTAAACTTGTAATGCATTAAAGCTAGTACCTTTTAAATACAATAATTTGTTTTTAATAGCACGAGCTCAACATTATGGTTGGGGTATCATTTACATGTGTAAAATTTATATATATATATATATATATATATATATATATATATATATATATATATATATATATATATATATATATATATATATATATACATTTTCTTACATTTTCGATTTTTTAAAAAAAATTATAGATTTTTTTATAGTACAAGAGCATCAGATTTATGAACCGAAACACATGCATTCTCAATATTGTATATTATTACATTTTCTTCAAAAAATAATCGTTTTAAGTATACAATATATGACTTCTATTATAAAAACCGAGTTATCAGCAATCAATTAGGCATGTATTAAAATTATAGCAGTCCATCTTGCAAGTGTTTTGATCATCAATATATTAGAAAGAAATAACCAGGCTCCTGACTGATTAAAATTTTAATTAAAGGTTGTATACACTCATGGTTTAATATGTCTATTTCACATCCTGAGACATTTTAAGTATTTAAAATTTGTTTTAATGTGTAGATATGCAATGCAATGCGGTAAAAAATATATGTTAAAAAAATAATTAAATTTTATACCCAATTATATTTCTCTTGTAACTTATCAATTGAAAGCGGGTAAGCAACTGAAGCTGATTGGTTGTATAGCGCCTGAAAAAAAAATATTCTGCACATAAATACAATGATCAAAAAGCTAAAAGAAGTAAATATTTCAAATCTAAATATATAAATATGTTAAATCTTTTATGTTATGAACTAAGATCCCACTATAGTCCTTGATAACAGATAAAGCTCAACTGACCCATGTAACATAAAGGTAAAACAAAAACTTTACACAAAATTTTTACTATAAAAAATATGAATTTAAGATTCAACCTTGACAATAGCATCCTTGAAATCTTTCATCGCTTCAAAATCAGTTCCTAGAACCGTTTCATCTGCACCCAGAAGCTGTAGCGCTTTCATCATAAATTCCTGGTGGTTGGAATCGTTTCTGGCGGTCAAAAGATGGTATGGAAAATCTATCTGGGGAAAATGTTTTTTTGTTAAAAGCAACTTTTATGGACAATTTATTTAAATACGTTGATGTAAAATCAAATAAGATTAATATATAAGCCAATATATATATATATATATATATATATATATATATATATATATATATATATATATATGTATATATAATAAGCCTAAAGCTGTATCTTAAAATAAGACTACAATTTATTTGGTGCTCCATTCGATAAAGGGGGAAGGGGGAAGTTGTCAATCCTCAAATAATGAATCTGCTTACACTGGTGAATATATTTTATTAGCGCATATGCATAAACAAACCATGCTTACAAGTATACGAACATAAATGGATATTTTTGTCTTATCAAGCGATACATTGAGAGGATTTTTCTTGCGAGCCCTAGAGATTGTTTTGTAAGTTGTGTGTTATTTGGAAAAAAAACCGAATACAGTACAACATCGTTAAATAATAATTGTATTTTTTAAATACTAACTGAGAACATTTTCTTTGGGCCTCTTTTAAATGGATCCACATACAAAGTCATGAAGGGCATCAGACCTAGAGAATAAAAATGTATGTCAATGATCATTTTACATAATGCATGTGTATTAGAACGTTTCTTTCTTTTGTTTTTCTTTTCTTTCTCTCTCTCTCTCCCCCACCCTCCCCCCTCTCTCTTTCTGTTTATGTTTACAGAGTACGTATTCATAAAGCTTAGATCAATGTCAAATTATTACGATTTTTACACTGCTTGATACTGTTTAGCTATTACCAATTGCAAGAATTTTATATTGCGTCTGATCCGACATTTATATTGATACATATTTAGTCCATAATCTTATGTTTTTAGCTAAATTGATATATGCAATAATAAAAAAAAATTAATGGAATATTATTAGACGTAAAGTAAGAAAACGCTTATAATGGAAAGTACGAGCATAATACATTTACTTACCTAATTCGTATAACTTGATAACTATATCTTCAATATTAAAATCACTCTCTTTCCAAGTGTTATTCATAACAGGGAAATCACCTACTGTGCTGATCAGTTCTAACAAAGGCTTAGCTCCCCTTTCCTCAATTTGACCTGAATCATATGGATAAAATATTCGATAAGTTTATTTTAAAATCACGTGACACATAATGAATACAATCCATCGATAAAAATGTACAAACATTTTAAAGTATGTGGACAAGATAATAATTTTATCTTTCCTCGATATTAACGCAATGATTTAACAGGCGGAACATTAAATTATAAATAATCCCATCCGAATGTGTAAAACTTTTACATTTTTGTACACGGAGTAAATAGAAATTATTGTAATCGTGCACGACAATCGTAATCGAGAAAAATTTCTCTTTGTCACTGTATGTCTGTGTGTATGCGAATTGAATAGGATATATTTTCAGTTAGGTTGACACAAATTTCCCAAGCAATTTTAAATCAACGCTAAATTTATTCAATAAACTTTGTATTTCAAATATAGCATGTGGTCATTCATGTGTATACAATTAATTAAAATTATACTATCTGGCTTCTGTATACCCCTCTACGCCCCCCCCCCCCACGCCCCCTCCGATGTGGATACCTGCAAATATTTAAATTCATCTAAAGACGGACTCTACCTTTTTAAATAACATGTTTTGTAGATGTGTAGCTTTATATGCTAGGTATTAACATATATATATATATATATATATATATATATATATATATATATATATATATATATATATATATATATATATATATATATATATATATATGTATATATATGTGTGTGTGTGTGTATGTGTGTGTGTGTATTATTTTCTAAAATATATGCATTTATACAGTAAAATTAGAGTCAGGAGTAAGCTGTCTTAAATGATGTTTAAATTAACGCGCTTCTAAAGGATCTGCAGTATGACTCTCTTTCCTCTTTCTCTTGCGTAGACGTCATAATTCGATGACTTCTTTACATTCAAGTATCATTTATCCACGTTAAGATACGAACATGTATGCACATCGCATAGTTCATGTGGAAGTAGACAGATCATTTATGTACACAGGAGAGTTGATGCGGAAGTAGACAGAACATTAATATACACAATAGAGAGTTGATGCGGAAGTAGACAGAACATTTATGTACACAGGAGAGTTGATGCGGAAGTAGATAGAACATTTATGTACACAGGAGAGTTGATGCGGAAGTAGACAGAACATTTATGTACACAGGAGAGTTGATGCGGAAGTAGACAGAACATTTATGTACACAGGAGAGTTGATGCGGAAGTAGACAGAGCTTTTATGTACACAGGAGAGTTGATGCGGAAGTAGACAGAGCATTTATGTACACAGGAGAGTTGATGCGGAAGTAGACAGAGCATTTATGTACACAGGAGAGTTGATGCGGAAGTAGACAGAACATTTATATGCACAGGAGAGTTGATGCGAAGTAGACAGAACATTTATGTACACAGGAGAGTTGATGCGGAAGTAGACAGAACATTTATGTACACAGGAGAGTTGATGCTGAAGTAGACAGAACCTTTATGTACACAGGAGAGTTGATGCGGAAGTAGACAGAACCTTTATGCACACAGGAGAGTTGATACGGAATGCAACAAAGCATTTATGTACACAGGAGAGTTGATGCGGAAGTAGACAGAGCATTTATGTACACAGGAGAGTTGATGCGGAAGTAGACAGAACATTTATGTACACAGGAGAGTTGATGCGGAAGTAGACAGAACATTTATGTTCACAGGAGAGTTGATGCGGAAGTAGACAGAACATTTATGTGCACAGGAGAGTTGATGCGGAAGTAGACAGAACATTTATGTGCACAGGAGAGTTGATACGCAGTAGACAGAACCTTTATGTACACAGGAGAGTTGATGCGGATGTAGACAGAATATTTATGTACACAGGAGAGTTGATGCGGAAGTACACAGAACATTTATGTACACATGAGAGTTGATGCGGAAGTAGACAGAGCATTTATGTACACAGGAGAGTTGATGCGGAAGTAGACAGAACATTTATGTACATAGGAGAGTTTATAGTCGAGTGGACTCTGCTTGCCCGATGGAGAGTAGCGTGTTGGCGTTAAAATACCACGACGAATGTTATTGTTATTGTCGTTGCTCTTGTGCCGAAGTTATCAAATGGACAACACTTGTTGCCTAATCATGCGTAGAAAAAAAGTAAGCACAATAAACAGGTTTTTTTACTATCATTTTAATTTTTTTATTACTCTTCCGCGTTTGTATATATTTTTTTTTTTAAAAATGGTAATACGATTGCAAATTTTCTCTATAAGTCACAATAGTACACGCTCGGCTTTTTAAATGGACATTGAAATACACAAATGACGTATAGATCTATGTGCAATCCTACCTGTGTTCATACAAGCAGCGTAGTAGGTCTCTGCTGCTGATTCATAGGCTGGGTCACTTTCAAGGGTTTCGCTGCCAAGCATATCTGTGGAAGCAGTACACATCTAATACACGTTATGATAATGACCTAATTTAAACACTGCATATTCATAAGCATTTATTTAGTTCACATTGTATGTTGTTTTTTTTTTTTTTTTTTTTTTTTTTTTTTTTTTTTTTTTTTTTATATAGAGAAAGTATTGTAATCGTGCATAAATATGTTATAAAATTTCGACCGCTTTCGCCGTTTTACTTCTACCTACTTAATCGAATACAGAATATAAAGGGTGTTTTGTAAGTTTAGAAAAATATAAATACAAATTGTGACAAATTTTATATTTTACAAATTTCAGGTGCTGGAAAAATATAGTTCAGCAATCCGTATGTGTGTGGGCGTGTTTGTGTGTGTGTGTGTGTGTAAAGTTGAACAAATTTCACTCTTAAGTATATTATTTAATGTATAGTTTTCAGTAAAATTGTGAGCAATTTCCAGTAACCGGAAGTGGTACGTACTATACTTCCGCTCTCTTAAGGCCAAAAAAAAAAGTACAATTAACGTTACGTTGACAAATTTTCAATAGTAATATTAGATTGTAAGCTCAAGTTTCTATTAAACATTGAACGATTTCCGGCTGTCGAAAGTGTCTATGGGAACACTATAACTTCTGAACCGTTTTAGTTACGTAGATTAATATATAAATAAACGATCTTATTATTGAATTATTTGTGTGACTTCCATAACCGGAAATGAAACTTTACCTTTCACTCTGGATCCAACTTTTAGACGCGTATTTAAGAGGGAACCAATCACGGGACCATCATCAGGAAGGTGTGTCTTTTCCAACTATCCACCGCATGTATAACGATAGAAGTCTTCGCACGGATCCACATTCAAATCCATGTTGGCTTTTAAAGTAATTGCTATTTTGAAAAATTAAATAGTGTGTCAATAGTACAACTACATAGGAGTGTGTAGAATTGATTTCATTGTTAGTACTTATATTATATTTTGCAGTAGATTGAGATGAGATTGAGATTGTATGTCATATCGTATACAGAGAACGTCTTTTTAATTTTTAACATCGCAGTTAAATATAGAAATAAACATCCGCCAGAAATCAACTTACCTGACTTCAGACACGTTTCACTTTTACAAACACGAACCTCCGGTGGTGGCTCCATTGAGGCTTTAATGTATATATATATATATATATATATATATATATATATATATATATTTATATATATATATATATATATATATATATATATATATATATATATATATAAAAAGAGTTTTGAGTAAACATATATATATATATATATATATATATATATATATATATATATATATATATATATATATATATATATATATATATATATATATATATAAGATTTTAAAGTAAACAAAGCCAGATTTAATACATAAAATGTATGTTTGAATAGTAAAAAATCCTACGGATGTCCGTTTGTGGAGAATTTTCAATCGTAGTGCTTTTATCCGGATATTTAGTTTTCTCAGGCTGCGCTGTAAAATATTTTAATTCACAGATATATGACAGACTTGTAAAAGTTATTATGTAAAACATACACGTCTATAAAGTATGCGGGTGATTTTTTAAACTTGTTGTTTTATTAATACAAAGTGTTTACAAAATAATTTAAGAAAACATTTAAAATGCCTGTATAATCTTTTGGATCTTATATTTGCAACATGTTTTAAAAATATAACTTACGATTTATACAGTTTTCGCCTTCGCATGCACCTTCATTTCCTGTAATGTAAATTGTTTAACATAGGAAAGTAAAGTTCCCTTTCAAACCTGACAGTCTACAGGGCAGGTGAAGTAGAGTTCACTTGTTGCATATGCCGAGGTCACAGAAACAAGTGATCTCTACTTAACATACGTAACCAGTTTTTTTTATTAAAACTACTAATTATCAGCTAATTATTTAAAAACACGATTCCCATTAGACATACGTTTGATATAAAATGAATTTTCTGGTTTCTGTTCAAAGGTATAACCTATTGCATCTATTTTATGTTGTTGGACGCAAGAAAACATGTTCCGTTGTTTCAGTAATACTTACCATTATTGTTGTTTGGGCTAACCGATGCTGAAAATAGAACAAAAATATAACTTAAGTCTAAAAAAAAACCTTTCATGGACGGTGTAAATCTATAGTTATAATGTGTTTTAAGTTATATTCTTAAATTAGTTCATATTTTTAAAATTGCAAACAAAATTGTTTTTAATTTCGATACAGACTAATTTTACAATGAATATGAATAAATTGTAAATATTCTGATTTGGTATTTTAAACGACTTTTTCACCACACATAAGTACAGTCGATAAAAATAAATTACCGTTGCTTGATGTTTCTTTGAAATAAGTAAAGATGAAAACAGCCATGGAAATTTCAAGGAGGAAGATGAACAAAATAACAAATAAAGGCTTTACTATGTTCATTTTGATGGTATCTTGCGCAGATGATATTACCGTATGCCTTGCTTATTTCTTCTGATGTCTATGAGTTGCCTTCGTTCGAAAAAGGAAACAATTTTAATATACGTAAAAGGTGAAAGTTTTAAAATACATATACCTGCATCTGCACCTTTCCTGCACCTTCACCTGCACCTGAAACTACACCTACACCTACACCTACACCTACACCTACACCTACACCTACACCTACACCTACACCTACACCTACACCTACACCTACACCTACACCTACACCTACACCTACACCTACACCTACACATACACCTACACCTACACCTACACCTACACCTACACCTACACCTACACCTACACCTACACCTACACCTACACCTACACCTACACCTACACCTACACCTACACCTACACCTACACCTACACCTACACCTACACCTACACCTACACCTACACCTACACCTACACCTACACCTACACCTACACCTACACCTACACCTACACCTACACCTACACCTACACCTACACCTACACCTACACCTACACCTACACCTACACCTACACCTACACCTACACCTACACCTACATCTACATCTACATCTACATCTACATCTACACTAAATGGGTGCGGAGGGGGTGGGTGGTGGCAACTAAAGCAACTTGCAAGGAGATACTACGTACTTATCAGAACGAGAAACTCCTTCCACAGGGAAAATACATACAGAAAAATAAAAATAATCATTAAAAAAGTTTTAAAAACCCACGTTTTCTGATTGAACTAAAAAGTAGAAAATAAATACTATACATCACAATAATGCAAGCGATCACTCTACTATAAGCGATGAAAAACGTGGGGCGCCGAAGTAAAAGTTATATTACTATTGATTAGATAATACTATTGACTTTTATTAGAAGCTTGTAGAGAGTCAACAGTATTAGAAACTGTAAGAAAATCACGGCGCCCCACGTTTTTCATCGCTTATAGTAGAGTGATTGCTTGCATTACTGTGATGTATAGTATTTATTTTCTACTTTTTAGTTCAATCAGAAAACGTGGGCTTTTTAAAACTTTTTTAATGATTATTATTTTCTACTTTTTAGTCTTTGTCTGTTTGTTTGCATTGAAATCTTGCTATCGATTTTATCTTTTCACTTTTTTTTTGGGTAAACGAAGACAACTCGTAAAAAGACAACTCGTAAAAAACGAGAGACCCTTTCTTCTTCGGTCTCAATCGCAAGTGAATGATTGTCAGAGGTTAGTTGATAGCGGTTAGGACGAGGGCTGGTTACTGACTAGAACACATAGATTTGAACCCGTGTCGAGTGGGATAGCAATCGTGTGCCCAACCACTCGACCATATCGTCTCCCCCAAACTGGCCACCAGTGGTAATAGTTACCTCCTGTAAGTTTAAAGTCGGTTCAAACTAAATTATCTGCCCCTAAGCCTGTCGCGACGTGGGATCGTTCGCTTCACTGCGCGCGGCAAGAGAGAGGCGAGCTACGCGTCGCTGGTTTTTTTTCTAATGGCTCGCAGAGGAGAATTATATATATAGATTATATAGCGGTCTAAAATGCTCAATAAAATGTTTCCATTGATCAATTTAGTAATAATAACAATTGAATATTCTATGGTCATCCAAAAGAAAGCTTCCCTGAAAATTTCAGCACGCTAGCTAACTGGGAAGTGCCAGAAATTTCGATCGCAAGATTTGATTGGAAAGACAAACAGAGAAAGCAAGTTAAAGAAAACGTGGGAAAAAAATCAGTGTACATATACGGGCTACATGATTAGACATTTGTATACACACAAATCCGGCAAATATTTAAATATTTATATATATATATATATATATATATATATATATATATATATATATATAACTATATATATATATATATATATATATATATATATATATATATATATATATATATATATCGAACCTAGCTAAGTCATTGGGTAACTGTTATGTCTGTAGGATACCACTGAGTTCACCCAGCTTTAATGGGTACCTGAAGAACTACACAAATTCCATCAAACGCTAGTGTATACCTGATTCAAGGAATTGTAATAAGATTTAGATCTAGTTTAAATTGAAGGGAGCTAAATTTTACTTACCATCCTTTCTACAAATATGATGTATTACAATATTAATAAATGCTGGTTTATGCGTTGTGTTTTGAGTTTTGATTTGTTTTCCATTGTAGATTTCACGGCTTTACTCTAGCTTCCGATAAGCTTGTGATGTTTATGTTCTTAACGCGTTGCTGTTTATGTTCATTTACGAAAAGATTTCGAGCAAGATTTGTATTTCCGTTCCTTTTTTACTTTCTCGTATATAGATCTACGAAGTATAGAGAAAGTCTTGTAATCGTGCACAAAAAAAAATCGAGATTTTTGCAAATCTCGACGTTTTGCATCTCACTGATACGGAAAAACATAATTTTGCAATCTTGTCCGTATGTCTGTGTGTCTGTGTGTGTGTGTGTCTGTGTGTGTGTGTGTCCGTGTGTAAACACGATAACTTGAGTACCGTTACAGCTAGGTTGATGAAATTTCATATATAAGTATTTTATCAAAATCGTAGATCCGTATCAACTTTTGAGCGATTTCCGACAACCGGAAGTGGTACTTTTTCTACTTTGAATTTTTCAAAAGCCTATAACTTGAGTACTATTTCAGATAGATAAATGAAATTTCACATGTAAGTAAAAGATCTAATTCTCTACCTTCTGTTAAATTTTGAGTAATTTCCGTTGACCGGAAGTAGTAATTTACGCTACTTCCGATTTCTCAAAAAACTAATGTAAATTTTTAAAGTACTAATAATATTGCGCACTATTATGCGCTTTTTTATTCGCGTTCACTTGGTGTGCAATTAATTTGTCTACGAGATTTTATTCTATTTTTAAAACTTTAAGTATTTAAAATGGATTAAAAATCATGTCTAGAAGTCTATAGCCCGAGTTCCCATCCCCTGTTATTTTATATAAGAATATTCGAGAAAGTTTAGGGGAGATCACTCCCGGTTTATTTTTATCGGTGAGAAGACGCAGTATATTATTTTAACAATGCTGAAATGGAAATACGTACATAAAAAGTATAACAAAGTTTTAATAATAAGCTTTCATTCTTTTTTAGTGCATTATAATATTAAAGCTTGTTATTGAAACGTTTTATAAAAAAAAAATTTAAAACATTAATCGATTCCATAATAAAGTATTACATTTCCAAAGCAAAAATGCGCACGGTGTTACATTAAATTTGGTGCGCAAGTTTTCATCATTTGGATTGGTGCTAAATTATTTTTACTTTCTCGTATACGAAGTATAGTAATCGTAAAATCTCGACGTTTTAAACCTCCCTGAGTCGGAAAAAACATAGTTTTGCTTTCTGCATAATTCTGTGTGTGTATGTGCATCTGTGAACACGAAAATTTGAGTAGCGTTACAGCTAGGTTAATGACATTTTTTATACAAGTATTAGTATTATATCAAATTTGTAGTTCTGTGTCAACTTTTCAGCGATTTCTGGTAACCGAAAGTGAACTTCTTCTTTTAATTTTTCAAAAGCCTATAGCTTGGACATAGTTTCAGATAAATAAATGAAATTTTACATGTAAGTAAAAGATCTAATTATCTGCCTTCTGTCAAATTTAGAGTTAATTCTGTTGATCGAAAGTAGTAATTTACGATATTTCCGATTTTTCAAAAAACGCATGTAAATTTATAAAGTACTAATAATATTCCGCACTGGTATACACATATTGTTTGACGTTTAATTGTCGCGCAATTCTTTTTCCAACGAGATTCTATTCTATTTTTAAAAGTTTAAGTTATTAAAGATGGATTAAAAATATCCCAAGTTGCCATTTCCCGTACTGTTATATAAGAATATTCGAGAACTTTTAGGGGAGATAATCCTAGTTTATTTCTTCTCGGTTTAAGCATTAAAATTTAATTTAAAAACATAAATAATAAATATCACAAAGGATTTAAATAATGATTTTAAAAAACAAGGTTTATGTTTTGTTCACAAAAAAATGTATTTTAAAATTAACTTGAAAGTAAAAAAAATTGTTTTGGTGTAAGCTTTTTAAAGTTATAGGATGATTTGACTAAAAATAAAATCCTGGGTGCTCAATGATGAAAATTGAAAATAGGTACTATCTTATGTTATAGAAAGCAAACCTATTAAGGAACTCCATATCAAAGAAAAAAAACTATTTTCCAAAAGTTAGTGTCCTAGCCATCTTCTAAGAGACGGATGTTTGGTCTCAAAGTTTATAGATTCATGAATATTACAATGACTTGAATGTAAGTCCTGCCGTCTGACCGTCTGTAGTTCTCTTTAAAAACTAAAATCGCTTCTCTTCCATGTTGATTACTTTATTAAATTGATTAGTGTTACTGGAAATCAACATCAAAACCAAAATCTGTTCTTTATATTTTTATAACACTTCCAAAAACATTGGCATTATATAGATATAAAAATTAAACTGAACAAACATGTGCATACACAAATTATACAAAACAAAATTGATGTTGTGGATTTTTAATTACATTCGGTACAGAAATAGCGAATCATTTAGTCCATAAAATCAGTAAATAAACTCAAATTTTCGTTTACTTTTTATTTTAACTTGTAAATAAAATTTCAATAGATGAAAAACATTAGATGATAATTTTTGTTCTAATTGTTGATATTTCAAACAGTAATAAATTTGACGCTTAAAACGTATAGTAGCTAAATTTGACAATAAAAATTGAATACATTTTATTAAGTGATGTTTTAGTCAACACAATATTGTTTTTTCGCTCCGCTAAATCTTTAGTATGATATTTCTTTTTATTTGCATGCATGATCTTGTGCAGATTAAGTTATATGATTCAAATAATATTTAATTTCATAATTTTGATTATATTTAATGAGGATGTGTTTTTGAAAACAGCTCTAAAGCAACTTCAATAAAAAGTCTATCTTGAAATCTTTAGTATTCCTAGAATGAAAACATGCCTGTCTTTAAGTATATAATTGCTTTTTTTTAAACGTTAAATTATTTAAATATGTATGTATATATATATATATATATATATATATATATATATATATATATATATATATATATATATGTAGAGAAAGTTCATAATATATATATATATATATATATATATATATATATATATATATATATATATATATATATATATATATATATATATACTTTAAAAATTTGCAGCATACACTTTAAACATTTTAACTTTTGGAGGTAGAAGTAACAGCCTACAAATTGTAATTACCTGGGTGACAAAGAGAATTAAACATATAAAATATATTAAATATTATGTTATGACAAATTAATACCTCAGAGCAATAACCTCAAAGATTTTTAAAGGCGTCCACTAAAATCCGATCTAGACACTACTTGTAATTTTTTTTTGTCATTACCTTGTCATTCCTTCATCATAATTTCACTTATTAAACCAGTTAACTCGCCATTTAACTGTAGACATTACAAGACTTTTGTTATTGCGTTAGGGATGCTGCTGTTCCCTCATACAATTCTACATCTTTCTCAGTCATCGAGAAAAGAAACATTACCAATACAGTTAAAGATTAACGTGTGTTTCCGAGAGCCTAAATTTCCATTTAATTAAATTTAAAAAATTGGTTTGAACAAGATGGAAGATAATTACATTGATGAGGTATTTACAAAGCACATGGTTTGGGCGCGCTTTGACAATTTAATAATTGGTATAAATTTTATAAGAGACTGCGAAGAGCTGTCGCTGGCGACGATGTACTTCCGTGGTTTTCATTTTAAACTATAACATCAACATTCTAAAAGATGTTTCCTGAAACATACAACTTCTTGCATTTATTCATCTCCCTCCCTCCCCCCCCCCTCTCTCTCTCTCTCTCTCTCTCTCTCTCTCTCTTTCTGTATATATATATATATATATATATATATATATATATATATATATATATATATATATATATATATATATATACAAGGGTGCCTACATATATACATATTTGTAGGGTATTTTTACATATGCATATATATGAAATAGATTTAGATTCTAAAAAACGTTTTAGAAACTTACAACGATAAGTATTTATTCATCTCATCTCTGGTTAAGCAAATGCATTTCACCACAGATAGCACTTATCCGCAGGGTTCATGGTTGTGTTGAATTCACATTTGAAAATTTTAGCAAAAGAGGGAACGTTGCTAATAGCTCCATGAACCCTGCATTGTGGTAAGATAAAAATTGTAAAATGGCAAGTCTCTGGTTTTGTGTCAAAAACAATAGCTTGAAAAATATAACTTCTATTGCATGTACAAAAATATTTGTGAACAATTAAATGGATATGAGTAAATTGTAATCAAAATATAAAATTTAATCTGCCATGTAATATGTTGGACGATATTGATAGAAGCTCATATCGCACTTGAAATGATATAGATTAAAACAAATGTTTTATTACCGAACGTTTCCCTGAGAATGCACATCATATTGTATAATAGTTTCATGTAATTCGTCTTTTACTTTAGAGCACCAGAGCTACAAATTCGGAAACAAATGAAAGAAATTTGAAATCTTTTACTCATTTTATTCAAATTCAAAAAGTTAACTGCACGCAAAATTTAACACGTCAGCTGGCTAAACGAAACATATAGTATAGTTACAATCATTAGTAACCAAAAACTTTAAAAAAAAAATTTTTTCATAATATTTTAAGGATATAAAAATGTACTTTAATTTAAAAAAAAATTAAATTAAATTTTACCTGGGCATAGCTAATGAAGAATATCTGGTCATGGTTTAGATTAAGACCGGGAAATGAGCCTTCCTCTTCTCCTCGTCTTTGTACCCAGTTCCTGTAGGCCTGTGTAAGGTTTTTAAAAAACATAATTTAAACACATACAATTACACACATATCATGTCATTTTCTTACGGAAATGTAAAATCAATTACTCATTTTGTATGAATCAGCACTCTTTTAAATAACAAGGATGTATACATAATGCTTTGAGGTAACGGCTGAGAGAGTCATCCTTAAATGACGTTACATTCACTGAGCGTTCGGAATCGATGGCTTAAAAAAGTAACTTTAATGGGGGTTGTATAAGGGTGCGTGACGTCAATTTTTGTTCTGTAAACGTGTGATGTTGGGGAGCGTGGGCGAAGGGGTGGGGGGTTAATAATCGTCAAACAACTGTGACGTCATTTATTTATGACCCCCTAAGCAAAGAACTTTTAAAAAACATCAAAAGATATACATATTCGCTAAAAAAAAACTCGTTAAGCAAAAGATAGTGTTCAAATTACGTTAGAGGGCATTAAATCTTTCAATGTGTGTTCGTACGTACTTACTCTATAGCTTTGCTCTAACCCTATATGATCAGCTACATTCTCATTGAGGGTCGTTTCACCATTTACCTAGTATAAGCAACAAGATATTTCTAAACAACGAGTTTAAGCAAAAAAACTGTATAACCCACTTCTTTTTTAAGTACAGACATAATTTCAAACCCGGGTGCATGATGATATATAACATTTTGTTCAAATACTTTATACGACATTTTTTTGGTTTGGAAAATACACAGCATTAGATATTTTATATTTGATGTTGAAAGAAAATTGCGGATGAAATACAAAGCTTAGTTTTAAAACGAAACGTTTATGTTATTGTAATATGCCCATTGTCGACTGCAGATACAATAAAGAATGGTGCTTGTTTGGGTGTTGTGTATTTTGACGCAGTATTTCTTCTCTTTCAACAACTCATTTTAATGACGAAAAATGCCTCTGGGCATTTTATTTAGCTGGATTGAAATGTATGTCATATACGTCACAAAAACCGCTTAATTAAATGAGATAGTAAAGAGAGACTAAAAAAAAAACATCCCTCGTTTAAACATCTTGACGCGTTACTTGTACTAACACAAATAGTCAATCACACACACGCTCATGATATCAAAAATTTACATACATACTTAGATGTGAGTATATATATATATATATATATATATATATATATATATATATATATATATATATATATATATGTTAAATTAAAACTTATATATATACACATTGTATATATATATATATATATATATATATATATATATATGCTAAATTAAAATGTACTTGGTAGCCATCCCATTTGTAAGCATTGTATTGATGAACATAGCAATCTGCTAGGGCAATAAAGTTAACTTTGTCAGAAGGGTCCCACCAGTCACTCAGCTCTCCATTTTCATCAAACCTTGAACCTGGGGTTAGTATAAGTTTTATTTATTTCATTTACACTTGGTTTTTGTTCAAATAAGAAAAAAAATGTATACTGTAATTATTTAAGAAAATTAATTTAGCATTAAAAATTGAGTTTGGATGTACATAATACTGATGAGTAAATAGATGTTTGCTCCAATCTAATATAAACAAAATTAAATACAGATTCATTTTTTTTAAATATTTTATGTTAAAAAACTACAACATTAAAATATATTTGATATAGTTATAACGCATAATCTTTGAGAGAAAATAAAGTAAATATATGGATAATTATATTGGCATTTTAATAGTTACATTTTTTAAATTTTTTTTAAAATAATCTCTCGGCAAAAGTTATAGGTTTCGTTAATTATTTTATTCGGATTAATTATAAATATTTAGTCGCTAAAGAAAGGAAATCTGTAAGATTTATAGAAGCAAATTAACAACACCATGATCGAACTGTAATAAATCTATGTTGGATTTTGTTTCTCAAATGGTTGCCTTACTCACCCTGAACATCAAAACCATGGGATATTTCATGACCGATAATTGATCCAATAGTGCCATATTTCATAGAGCTTAAAAAAAAAGAATTAATTGTATCGCATTTCAGAAAATGCAAAGTAGATTTTAGAAATCGTAGATTATTTTAGGTTTCCACTTTTCTCAATTAATTCGACTGATAACGCTTAACAATAAAATCGCGTTTTTAAACGTATATATATATATATATATATATATATATATATATATATATAGTTTACATAAAGAATTCTCGTTTTGCCTTTTTAGCGCAATTTCCATTCTGGAGAATTGCGTTTATTAACCCGTCATTTCTGGATGTATGAATGTATGAATGTATGGATGGATGTGTGTCCGCAGCTTTAAGTCGTATCTCCTCCTCAACGAAGCAATATCGATGACTAGTTCCAAAAGCAATTATGTTAAGCAAGTTACGAGGATGAACATAGGCTATAAAAATTCCGGGTTTCTTTCATGGATTTCCCGGAAAAGCCAAAAAACCTCGAAAAAAAGCAGTTTTTGGCCCATATCTCGGCAACCAGACCACTTAGCGACTTGAAACATGTACCAATCGATTCCTGCCATAATTTAGAACAATATTGCCGAAGAAAGTTTTCAAAAATATCCTTTCGTTTGGTCACAAAAATTTTTTTTAATTAATTAAAATTTGGACCGAATTAGTAGGCATTTTTTCCAACCACACCACACGCGTCATCACGTTCAATAGCTGCACCATCACGTTCTATGGCTTCGTCATCACGTTCAGTAGCTAGGCGCGCAATGGTTTTTAGTCATGTAACTCTATTGTAAATAAAACATGTAAAATACTGAATTTTTTAAAATAAAAAACGTTTTAATAACTAACCAATGGTTTTACTAACCCTGCTCTTGATTTACGCTACGACAGAGCTATTTTTAGATAACATAAGGAAATTGCGCTAAAATTGTCACTAGACTTTTTAATTCACTTGTTTTATTTTGAAAGCGCGGATTTTTAACTACACCACCTTAGAAGATATATTAATGAGGGAAAAATACGCCTTACCTTGAGCCTTTAGGGTAGTAAAATGGTTCTCCCATTATACCAGCTAGAATATCTAAGGAAACAAATACATTATTAGAATTAATGAAACTCTATCGTTTACTTAATTTTAAATAAATATAGATCTATGGATTTTTAACATGTGTACATTAATAAATATGAAACTCCTTTTGACCGTGAAGTAATATGGGAATTACTCTTATAATTTTTTGATGTTTCAGGTATCTTCCAGATAACCACCACCCCTTCTCTCCCCGACTTTTATCGTAATTAGAAAAAATATAAAGTGTATAGGAATACATACTTTAAGCAATATCCGCCACGTTATTTTATACTCTTCCCCATCCTTCATTGGAGGGTGGTTCAAACATCCTCCCTACCAGTAGCGTAGCGAGACGGGGGGTAGGGGGGCGGGGACATATGTCCCCGGGCGCCGACCTTAGGGGGCGCCAAAATGGGTTGGAAAAATAAATTGAAAGGTTGAGGGGGGTGCAAATCGAAAGTTTGAGGGGGGGGGGGGGGGGGGTGGTGCAAATCGAAATCTTGAGGGGGGGGTGTGTAAATCGTAAAGTTTGTCCCCGGGCGCCGGGAAGGGTCGCTACGCCTCTGCTCCCTACCCCCTACTATAAAATAGATCTAACAGGGTTTAAACTTACACATGCTGTTTAGACGAGAATTATAATAAGCATTGACAACAGAGGTCGATGCGGGCCACCTGTGGATAATAACAATAAGTTCTTTTAAACACTATGCAAAGGTCATTGTTTCAAATTATTATGATAATTATAATAATTCCTTTAAGAATTATTCAAATTTTATGGTTGCTATTTATTATGATAATTTAAATAGCTGTTTCAAAATTATTCAAATGCTTTTTGTTTCAATGTATTATGATACAATGTTTCGATAATTGTCAAAATTTTCTAATTATCATGATACTTCCAACGATTATTTTAAAAATCTATAATAATAGTTTCGCTGTCTGTCTATCTATCTATCTATCTATCTGTCTATCTATCTGTCTGACAAGAACGCTCTAGAGAAAAGACAAGCAATTTAAAAACATGCATAGTAATTCGAAAAACGAAGTATGACGTCGACACATTTAGCATAGAGTTGAAAATAATCTCACAGTAATATAATGACGTCATTGATTCTGGCGTAAACATTGAATAAAGAGGAAATGTTGTCTAATCTAAGTGGTTTGCGTGAAGAGTTTCTTGCATACAATTCTTCGGGTAGGGGCGAAGCCCCACCCCCCGCGTAAGAACGTCTGAGCCCCTCCCCCTCCCCAACTCAAAAGAAATTTCTTCATCGATACTCTATAATAAAATTACCGCCTAATTAATGTGTCTAATCTCAAAAGTGGTTTTCTTGCAATTTCTTTAATGCAATTCTTCGGGTAGTGGCTAAGCGCGACACCAGTGTTTCTTTCAGACTTTTTCCTCCCCGGAAAGGGGTGGGGGTAATTGAAATTTTCGGGGGCGGGGGTAGAATTTTCGGGGAGGGGGGCGGACACTGGAAAAAGTATATAATTATATTTCGTTGAATGGGACGGTAGACATGTTTTTTTTGGGAGTGGGGGGTGGGGGGTGGGGGGTGGGGTGGGGGGTGGGTGGGGTGGGGTGGTATCCTCATCGATACTCTATAATAAAATTACCGCCTAATTAATGTGTCTAATCTAAAAAGTGGTTTTCTCGCAATTTCTTTAATGCAATTCTTCGCGTAGTGGCTAAGCGCGACACCAGTGTTTCTTTCAGACTTTTTCCTCCCCGGAGAGGGGTGGGGTACTTGAAATTTTCGGGGGCGGGGGTAGAATTTTCGGGGAGGGGGCGGACACTGGAAAAATAATATAATTATATTTCGCTGAATGGGACGGTAGACATGTTTTTTTGGGGGGGGTGGGGGTGGGGGTGGGTGGGGGGGTGGGGGTGGGGGTGGTGTGTGTGTGGGGGGGGGTGGGTTGGTTTTAGTTTAGAGAAAAGAGACAGCACTATCAACCTAGCGCCCGGTGTATCCTTCCTCAACGGGCCATTTTTCTCGTTACTTAAATGTTATTGTTTCAAATTACTACAATACTTAAAAAGATATTTCAAAAGTATTCAAATCTTAGTATTTAAAATTTTAGTGACACTTAAATAGGTAATTCGAAACATTATCAAACAGTGTTTCTTCCAGACTTTTTTCTCCGGGGGGGCACTTGAAATCTTCGGGGGGGGGGGGCGGTAAACTTTCTTCGGGGGGGGGGGGGGGCGGACACTGTTAAAAGTATATATTTTCTATATAAATTATATAAATTTCATTTCGTTCGGGGGGGGGGCGGTAAAAAATTTTCGGGGGGGGGGGGGGGGCGAAGAGATGCCTGGAAGAAACTCTGTTATCAAAGATTGCCATTTTAAGTTATTAGAAAACTAATACTTTAATGATAGCAACATAGAAATCCGCGTAACTTTAAATTTATAATATTTTTTTTTTACTTACTCATGCTTGAAGTTACCATCGGCTGCCAAAATATTTATGTTTTCCAATGCAGAGTTTTTAAGAATTATCAAACAAAGATCGAAAAACCCGAGCATTTTATACCCGGGTTTAAAAATCTGTGGATAAATTTCAGAAACATTACATAAAGGATTCATCTAGTTTGAAAAAAAATGTTATGATCAGTTGTATAGACATTTTGTTTGGTGTTTTAGATTATTAACGAAATGTGTAGACACTAGCTTTTAACAACTTTACAAGCACATATATAAAACAAAAACAACTAACAATTAATAACAAGCATGTGTCAATATAGTAGGCACTAAAAAACGTACTAAAATTATACTTATGTTTATTTTTCAAATATAATTTTACAACTTAGTCTATTATGTAACTGTAGCCAACAAAAATAACTTACGTTAGCGTAATATGCATTGAGGTTAGTATCATCTAAAAGCGAGTCAGGATAAGCAACGTTAAAATCCATTGCTGATAGCTATTGTAAAAGTTATATATATATATATATATATATATATATATATATATATATATATATATATATATATATATATAGATCTATATATATATATATATATATATTTTTTTTTAAATTTATATAATACATATATATATATTATACATATGTGTATATTTATATGCATGTGTGTGTATGGGTGTGTGTGCATGTATGTATTTATGTAGGTAGGTAGCTTATGTAGGTAGGTTGTTTAGGTAGGTAGTTTAGGTAGGTAGTTTAGGTAGGTAGTGAAGATAGGTAGGTAGGTAGGTAGGTAGGTAGGTAGTTTAGGTAGGTAGTTAAGGTAGGTAGTTTAGGTAGTGAAGGTAGTGAAGGTAGTGAAGGTAGTGAAGGTAGTGAAGGTAGGTAGGTAGGTAGGTAGGTAGGCAGGCAGGCAGGTAGGTAGGTAGGTAGGTAGGTAGATAGGTAGGTAGGTAGGTAGGTAGATAGGTAGGTAGGTAGGTAGGTAGGTAGGTAGGTAGGTAGGTAGGTAGGTAGGTAGGTAGGTAGGTAGGTAGCTAGGTAGGTAGGTAGGTAGGTAGGTAGGTAGGTAGGTAGGTAGGTAGGTAGGTAGGTAGGTAGGTAGGTAGGTAGGTAGGTAGGTAGGTAGGTAGGTAGGTAGGTAGGTAGGTAGGTAGGTAGGTAGGTAGGTAGGTAGGTAGGTAGGTAGGTAGGTAGGTAGGTAGGTAGGTAGGTAGGTAGGTAGGTAGGTAGGTAGGTAGGTAGGTAGGTAGGTAGGTAGGTAGGTAGGTAGGTAGGTAGGTAGGTAGGTAGGTAGGTAGGTAGGTAGGTAGGTAGGTAGGTAGGTAGGTAGGTAGGTAGGTAGGTAGGTAGGTAGGTAGGTAGGTAGGTAGGTAGGTAGGTAGGTAGGTAGGTAGGTAGGTAGGTAGGTAGGTAGGTAGGTAGGTAGGTAGGTAGGTAGGTAGGTAGGTAGGTGTGTATACGTGTATACGTGTATACGTGTATACTTGTATACGTGTATACGTGTATATGTGTATGCGTGTATATGTGTATGTATGTATGGGTGTATGTGTGTATGTGTGTAGGTAAGTATGTAAGTATTTAAGTATGTAGGTATGTAAGTATGTATGTATTAGAATAAAAAACATGTATCAATTTTTTTTTTAAAAAGCCTTAACCTTAGCCTTTGCTTTTAACTTTGTACTGTTGGACAGCCAATTATTTGAATCCAATATCTCGTGAAACGACGCTTTGATATCTTTGATCATAGCAATTACCTAAAACAAAATGTGTGAGTTTTTAACCAACATCATTGTCTCATCTAAATATTTTTTTTAAAATTCTTTAAAGATAATTCTCATATTAAAATCTGTAACTGTAAATATTTTTTTTTAATTTAATTTATAAGGTTATTCAATGCACATGTTTTAACCAGTTATTTTTTATTTTAGTATCTGTACCAATTAGATTGAACATTATAAACAAACACAAGAAGCTAATGATCAAATATATTACTAAGCATAAATTACAAATTATGAATGTAACCATGAATAGTTGTATTTTACGAAGAATTATCTAAACAAATAAGTTATTTAAAACTTACTTATGTAATGTGGCTTTTTTTTAGCATTTTGCAAAAATGTAGCTCCCAAAATCGCATTTTAAACAATCTTGAAAATATCGTAATTTCTATAGTCAGAATATTTTGCTAAAATATTTAACTGCTAGCAACAACTCACGAAGTCTTTCTCTTCTGTGTTGAAGTACTTGTTGATATACAAACGGCCTACGGCCTCCGGAAGTTTCTCCTCGGTAATTCGCACACATTGCTGCGATCTAACCTTATGTGGCATTTTGGATTCGTCCTGGAAGTGTATAAATTATAAAAAATTATATAACACTAAGTAGTTGAATTGTTTACAGTAGTCAGAAGGCAAACTTTTTACACCAGTAGGTACTTGAACTTTTAACAAGAGTAGATACTTGAAATGTTTACAAAAGTCGATAGTAAAACTTTCTATAACTGTAAGAAGAGTACATATTTTTAACAACATTTGTTGCTTAAAATTTTACAACAGTAGGTAGTTGAAACTTTTACAATAGTACGTAGTTGATATTTTTACATAAGTAGGTAGTTTACATATTTACAACAGTAGGTGGTTGAAATTTATACAACAGTAGGTGGTAAAAAAAACTGCACATCAGCAGGTCGACGAAAGTTCTATACTAATGCTTATTCTGGACATAAGGCGAAATATATAAGTTGAAATAAGCAAAATCAGCCTCTTTTTATGCCGAAGTCATTGAAATTCTTCCTCATCTTATCTATGTGTTGAATACTCTTCGACAGTGCTTTAAAAACGGTTAATAAAATAAATTTCAATATGTTATGTGAACACCAGGCATCCGTGAATATTTCAAACAAACGCCAAAATAGGTATACATTTATCAATACCTACAGGAGGATATTTTTCATTTAACTCCCTGAAGCGATAGTCCAGAAGATCAGTGAACGTAAGCAGACACGACATCATGTAATTAGCCATATCTCTGGTAATAAAACAAAACAATACATGCACTATTACACCCACACACCCACCCACACACACACACACACATATATATATATATATATATATATATATATATATATATATATATATATATATATATATATATATATATATATATATATATATATATAATATAATATAATTAATACTGCTTCTATATTCTATGTCTTACCTTTTCGAAGTAGAGTTCACTATATCTTCAAGCTCATTTAAATACCAATCTCGCTCTAAAAGAACTGTGTCCGTCGATTCAATGACGACATTTCCTTTTGCCGCAATAGTTTTCAACACTTTAAGCCAATCAAGCTAAAAATAAAAAAATAAAAACATAGTTCAAAATTGTGTTTGCTAAATGAATCTTTTTTTAATAGTTAATGCTACACAATATTTCAAGATTAGTCATTTATTTTTAAAAGCAATCACGTTTAAATAGCTTTATGCCTAATATATTATGATCGAAGTATCTCAGATGACAGCTTTAAATGTTTATTCTTAAGAGTGACGATATTTACAAATAGTCAGTTAATAATACATCTGCCTAAAGCATTGTTTTTCCATTCTAACGAAGTTCAAGTTATTCTTTCTTCCCTTGTCGGGTTTGTAAATGAGTACGAAAACGACTTATTTCATTTCACTATTAATTAATTAAATCGTTCAAACGATTTAATCTTTCATAAAGTTTGCAACTTCTTTTTACATTGGCGCCACTCCACCCTCTCTGAATGGCGTTACTCAGTGGGTTCCACACACCCTCCCCTGGACGCCTCTGGTTGAACGAGTACAGTTCACATTCTGAGACTCACTTGTCATTAAATTATATTTTCGTATGATTATTATACAAAGCGGAAATATTTTTTTCTAGCTGTTTTATCAATATGTATATCGTGTACCCATTTATACTTCTCTTTCAGCTGATCAATCGTGAGCTGGTAAGCAGCGGTTGGAGTTTCGGAACTTGCAAGAATCTGAAAAAAATATTTAATTTTTGCACTTTGTATGTTTAACAAGGGTATTTAGAATTTTTAATAATAATTTTCATATGAAAACGTGTTGCCCAATTGTATATTAAGAACTAAGCAGCTAAGAAAAAATATAGCATTGAAGTAGTCCTACATAATACACTCGTAGTAAGCACGCTTGTCTTTCTTGTAACTCAAGAAAAAAAAACATAAAATATGTATAATAAGAGTTGACAAGAAAAGAAAACGGTTTTCGTTTTAAATATGTTTTCGTACAGCATACAAGAAATATAAGACGCTCATAATGATAATTTATAAATATTTCCTTGTGGTTTTGTTTTAGCCTTGTAATATAACGTCAAACACACGTGATTTTACTTAAATTTGTTGTATTACGTTGTAAAAATGTATAAAAATGAATATTATTACGAGGCGATTTCATTTCTATTGCTATTTTTCTTTTAAATTTTACTTTTAATTTTCAGCTATCAAACAACACGTTGGACTTTGGACATCTCGAGTTCGAATCATGGGGTAAGTATGTAGGACGTCCTCGAGCAAACTCAACTCTGGCGGGTAGGGATATTAAATGCGAACACGTATTGCGCTGATCAAAGTGTATTAATATGCCGAGATCACAGAATCAGGTATCTCTAAGCCATCTCCGACATGAACAACCAATTTCAGAAAGGGAAAATTTCCTTTTCTTTTTACAATCGAAAAACAAATTAAAAATTCAATGTGAAAACTTCTGTAATTTTAATTTTTTTTTATGCTTTAACCTCGATAAAAGCTCCTTTAACATTCTTCATCTCTTCAAAATCAGCCTTTAGAACATTTATGTCTGCGCCCAAAAGCTGTAGCGCTTCCATCATAAATGCCCGGTGATTGGTCTCATTTCTGGGGCTCAGAGCATGGTAGGGTATATCAATCTGGAGTAGAAGGGAATATGCTAAAAGTTAATTTCATGGACTCCCGGAATGTTTTGAATATTGTTAACACGTAGTTATGTGCACGCGTTACGTGCATGATTTAATGCTAAAATTATGAATGTGGTAATTGCATACTTTTTCTAAAACGAAAGCATTTTAAAAATTTTAATATAAAAATTTATATATATATATATATATATATATATATATATATATATATATATATATATATATATATATGTTACCGAGTGTATTTACTCGCAACGTCAAATGTTACAGAGTGTATTTACTTGTGCTATCTTTGACCGGCACACAACATTAATCACAATACAGATACTCTGAAGTGCAGGTTTACATTTATCTCTTTATTAATTGAATCAATAGAAATGCTCCACATAGCAATGCATCAATGTTCCACAAGAATACAATGAACCAACTGACCCCCACTGTCCTCACTAGTTCTCACATATCAGAATACACGTGTCCATGGTCCAGGCTTCCAAATCTTGTTCTCACAAATTAAAACACGTATCTACAGTTCAGGCTTCAACTTCTGTTCTTCTCACTTCTGTCGTACAGTCCTATTATATCGCCTCCCAACCACGCAGTCGCCTTGTATTCGTAATCGGTTCTATCCGTTGCATCATAGCTATAACTCCGAACTTCTGTCGTACAGTCCGATTATATCGCCTCCCAACTACGCAGTCGTCTTGTTATAGTTATTATTAGACTTTTGTTTCTATTTCTGTCACACCACCTGCATCCGTTGCATCAGTTTAGTTTGGCCTTGGTCATGTCTTAGTTGACAGATTGTATTGCGTTCTTATCAATCGTCTTTAGTAACTACACTAGTTACATCTATATATATATATTCTGCAATAAAATCGGATAACAATCGTGTTGGAAATCCAGTAGGGATGGTTGGGGGGGATAATAACCCTCAGATAATGAACCTTATTAATCAAGTGTATAAGTAGAATAAGCTTGCTTAGCGTATGTGCGCAGATATCCTCTCATGTAAACAGACTTAAACGCAGGAACATAAACAAAGTGCAACCAAGTTACAGAAAATAGTTAGATACTCACTGTAAAAACTTTCTTCGGGTCCCTCCTATACGGATCCACATACAGAGTCATGAACGGCATCAAACCTAGGGAAAATAAAAAATGTTCGTTTGAGATCCGATTAATTCTTTTTTTCTACGAGATTTTATTCTATTTTTTAAAAGTTTAAGTATTTAAAATATGCATTACAAATCATGTCTCTATCCCAAGTTGCCATCCCTCACAGTGATATAAAAGAATATTTGAGAAATTTAAGCTTTATTATGCTTGGTGTTGTACAGCTATTACTAGTGGCAAAGATTCATCTATGAGCTCGATACTTCGTCATGATTTAATTAAAATATTTCCATTTTTATATTGATAATAATCGATACTTTTATGTTTAGCTAGTTTGCTGAAGAAAAAACTATTTGTTAAAAAAAATCAAATATTATTAAGAGAAGAAACGTAGGATGGAAAGAATAATCATAATCAATCTACTTACCTAATTCGTGTAGCTTAATGACTAAATCTTCAATGTTAAAATCACTTTCAACCCACGAGGCATTTAAAATAGGGAAAACACCAATCGAGTGGATAAGGTCTATCAAAGGCTTAGCTCCCCTTTCATCGATTTGATCTGAATAGGTAGGAAAAGTCTATGTAATCATAATACTTTTTTGAAAAAATCTTTTGAAAAATATAGCAAGCGATAAAATTATAGTAACATTTGTAAAAAAAATTAATGCCGTTTGGGAACCATTGATTACACTCATTTTTATATTTTTGTATCGAATATAAGCCGTTGAAAAGCCGTTTAGAATTATTTTATCAATTAATATATTTTTAAAAACTGCCCTCGACTTCTCCTTGTAGTCTACCGGAATGGCCAGGGAGAGTAAAACAATAAAAGTCAGAACAATTGTTCTCCATGATAAAAATACACAATAGTGGTCTATTGTCTATAGCGTAGTATTGTATTTATATTAAATAATATAACATTCCTAATCACCACAACACCCTGACTCTACAATCGAAATTAAAAATAAAAGTGTTTACAAATTTACTACTATATTATTAGTAATTTTATTTGACTATTTCTAGCCTTAATTAAACCGGAAGTAATTTTGTAAATATTACACAAATGTTATATAATTTTCAATTTCGGTTGAAGAATTTACTTTCTCGCAACAAAAATTTGGAACCATTTGGAACCAGCTTTCATGTCTATTGTATGCAATTGTTATTCTATTTTTTTGTGTAAAGGGCATAAGAAAGAAAAAGCGTACAATTTATTTAGAGGTACATACAAAGCAAACCAAGATAGAGTAGAAATTTGATTTACAAAGGAAAATATAGAGCCGTAAGTATCTTGTAGTGAAAAATCAATAGAACGCAGTTTTAAGTACGATGTGTTTCTTAATATTCGATACTAATGGCATCCAGGTACCTTGCTTTAGCTGTTAATGAAATTTTAATTGAACCACTATCAACAGCAGTCTAAGTTGTTGCGCGTTATATATTTTTTAATAACTATGACAATACTACAAATTCATTTTTATTATTAATAGAACGCAGTTTTAAGTACGATGTGTTTCTTAATAATCGATACTAATGGCATCCAGGTACCTTGCTTTAGCTGTTAATGAAATTTTAATTGAACCACTATCAACAGCAGTCTAAGTTGTTGCGCGTTATATATTTTTTAAATAATTATGACAATACTACAAATTCACTTTTATTATTCAGCTTAATACGCAAGTCAATTTGTAGTTTTTTATCCACATTGAAAGAAAAAGATGAAGGCTGTATGTAATCCTACCTATGTTTAAACAAGAGGCATAGAAGTTCTCCGCTACTGCTTCGTAGATTGGGTCACTTTCAATGGTTTTGTCGCCAAGTAAGCCTGTGAAAGTAGTACTCAACTAGCTACAGTAATTAATCAAATGGTTACCGAAAAGATGAGCAACGGAAAAACTGCGCTCGAAATGTTTTATTTAGTCTCCAATATCCGTTTGGTTTTTGGTGTACGTGTGTGTTTGTGTGTATGTGTGTGTATGTATGTGCGTGCGTGCGCGATTGTGTGTGTGTGTGTGTGTGTGTGTGTGTGTGTGTGTGTGTGTGTGTGTGTGTGTGTGTGTGTGTGGCACATAGCATAAACTATTACATTATCAAAAGGACGAAATATCCTTGCCATAAAATCTTCAATAAAGTAGGCCAAAGACGAAATACTTAAGAAAAAACAATTCGGACTGAATAACACAGACAATTAATAATCTAGCGAAACAAACAAAAAACCTTCAAGAATAAGATTTCTTAACATCATTTTGAAAAAAAAACAATTACCAAGTAATCTGGATGTAACGTTGCCTACAATATTTGAGACGGAGCCAATCATCGAAGCCCCATGAGCCAGATGAGCGCTTTCCAACCATTTCCCGCAGGAGTATTGATAGAAGTCCTCACACGGATCAACATCCGGATCCATGCTGGCTTTTATTGAATTGGCTATGATGTAAACGTAAAGAGTGTGTTAGCAGTAAAGTACAGAGGACTCGGGAAAGATTGTATAAACAATGAAGAATATAATTATATAACACAAAAAAATAATTTAAAAAATAAATTATTGATTAAATTCCTCATCTATTGTTAATGAGTGTTTTTCGCTGTAGTAGCATGCGAACAATGTAAAAATTTACAATAATTTCAATGGCCCTTCCAGTGTATGCTATTTAAATTATTGTTTTTCATTCTAATATACACATAAATAATATTGTCACAAATAGCACAAATAGTTACCCGACTTTAGACACCATTCGGTCGTACAATCACCCGCCGATGGTTGCTCCGGCGTTTCTGTAATGTCTTTATATACATATATATATATATATATAAATATATATATATATATATATATATATATATATATATATATATATATATATATATATATATATATATATATATATATATATATATATATATATCAAATAAAACCCATCTAACAATAAAAAAGATGTTAAAATTGATTGAAATCCCTCTAAAAATATCTCACAGCAAAATATTTTTAGTATTTAGGGGGATTTCAATCAATTTTGACTTTTTTTATTGTTAGATTGGCTTTATTTGCTTTGTATATATATATATATATATATATATATATATATATATATATATATATATATATATATATATATATATATATATGTATATATATATATATATGATTTTCAAGTAAACATAGCCAGATTTTAAATAAGATTTAAGTTAGAGCAGTAAAACACCTACGGAAAAATGGCGGCGGTGCGATATTATCGTCAGTAGATCTTACAGGCGGTTTTTCCGTAGCCGGAGATGGAAGTACTTTAGCAGGCCCATCTGTTAAATGTATAATAATATTTAGTCATATAAAAGACGTACACATTATACTATTTAAATACTTACACATCTGTACTTATGAGACAACTTTTTAAGTATGCAAAGTCTTATTTAGTTAAAGTGCAATCAAAAAAAATTGTTAAAACTGTAAACATACCTTTAATTACTAAAGAATCTAATATTTGAAACATGTTTTAAAAAAAAATTATCATACGACCTGCACAGCCATCGCCGTCGCATGCAACTTCATTTCCTAAAACAGTTTTAATTTTGTTGACAAAGGTTTAATATTTGTTACAAATGTTACTAAGTATTAATAAGAAAAATAAACAACTCACGCCGATATTATTTTGCAATTTAATTTATTTTAAAATGTTAATTTAATATATCCTTGGTTTCCTTTAGTAAGAAAATAAATGTACTTATTATAGATATTTCACACGCTTTACATCTTTGATTACTTTGTTAGATAATATAAAGACATATAAAATAAGAGTTGCTTGTATTATTTTTTTTTCTGTTTTACTCACCATTTTGAGTATTGCTAGCTGCGTCTGGAAATAATTAGAACTATTATTAAACCCAAGATTAGTATTAGTAAGATATTTTAAAGTTACTTTCTAAAACTATTAACGAAAGATCATTATAAAAATGTATCGTTGATATCCTTATATATTTAATGTTTATATTGTACATATTTAATGTTTATATTGTACATATTTAATGTTTATATTGTACAGACATGTATTGTTGTCTGTGGTGGTGAACAGATGTTTTTACGACTCTAGTCTGACTGCAGATAATAGAATTAATAAACTTTGTAAATTAATTTTTACCCTTTGGTGAAGTGTCTTTGAAATAAGTAAAGATGAAAACTGCCATGATCATTTCGAGGAGGAAGATCAAAGAGATAACAACCAAAGGCTTTACGATGTTCATTTTGATGATAACTTTCGTAGATAAGATGGCCTTGATGTTAATGGGTTACATTCTTCTAAACTTGAATACATTTTTAAGATATAAGAGTTTTACAAGAGACATGGGCTATATAAAATAATATTTATAGCCATCTGCTTATGCACCTATTTCTGCATCTCTATCTGCAACTGAACCCGTACCATCTGCACCTGACCGACATCTGCACCTGCACCCACACCCATATCCATACCCACACCCACACCCTTACACGTACCCACTCCTTCACCAATACCTGCACCCACACCCACACCCACGAACGTACCAACAACCGCACCCACATCAACACCCACACCAACACCCACATCAACACCCACATCACACCCATACCCATACACGTACCCACACCCACACCCATACCCTTACCTGCACTCACACCCACACCCACACCCACACCCATACCGATACCCATACCCATACACGTACCCATACCCATGCCCACACCCACACCCATACACGTACCCGCACCCATACCCATACATGTACCCACACCTACACCCACACTCGTATAACACACATTTTAGTCCGATACTTTTAACTCATATATTCCTTCTTGAGATACAAGATCATATCAGTGTCTCAAGAGATAGCGTAGTTACCACACTGTTTAAACATGTAATACAATGGGTATTGAAGTTGTCGGGTTGTTTAAAAAATCATACCTATCTAGTCAGATTTTACACGTTTGTGATTGTAGGACACCCCAGAGTCCACTCAGCTCTATTTGTTAACTAGCATGATTGCAAGACACTTCTGAATACACAGGGTTGAAGTACATCCCCGTGTCTACCCAGCTGTAGTTGGGTGAGTGGTATGATATGTCTTGGCCTTCCCAGACTCCACTTATTTCTAATGGGAATCAACATGTATGTAGGTCTTATAGGTCTACCTATCTATATTTTGTAACTGCCATTGCAGTAAGTCACACCTGTCTACTCAGAACTAAAGGTTTACCGAGTCGGCGAATGCAAATCTGTTTTACATTGTGCTGAACCATAAACACAATTTCATGTGAACCATACATTCTATTTCAATTGAACCATAGATAGTATTTCATATGAACCATACATACAATTTCATATGAACCATAATTACTATTTCAGATGAAGCATAAACACAATTTCATGTGAACCATACATACTATTTCATATGAACCATACATACAATTTCATATGAACCATAATTACTATTTCAGATGAAGCATAAACACAATTTCATGTGAACCATACATACTATTTCATATGAACCATACATACAATTTCATATGAACCATAATTACTATTTCAGATGAAGCATAAACACAATTTCATGTGAACCATACATACTATTTCATATGAACCATACATACAATTTCATATGAACCATAATTACTATTTCAGATGAAGCATAAACACAATTTCATGTGAACCATACATACTATTTCATATGAACCATACATACAATTTCATATGAACCATAATTACTATTTCAGATGAAGCATAAACACAATTTCATGTGAACCATACATACTATTTCATATGAACCATAATTACTATTTCAGATGAAGCATAAACACAATTTCATGTGAAGCATACATACTATTTCATATGAACCATACATACAATTTCATATGAACAATAATTACTATTTCAGATGAAGCATAAACACTATTTCATATGAATCATAAATACTATTTCATATGAACGATAAATACTATTTTATATGAACCATAAATGATATTTTATGTGAACCATAAATACTATTTCATATGAAGCATAAATATTATTTCATATGAAGCATAAATACTATTTCATATGAAGCAAAATACTATTTTATATGAACCATAAATACTATTTTAATTTCATTTGCCGAAATTGAAAAAATACAAACACAAAATCTCTACTTTATCTGATGGTCATCTAGTTTAAAGATGAACTTAATTTGACTCAGAATACTTTTTTTTTACAAATCTAGTTAAATATAATTAAATGCTGATTCATCCATTGCGTTCGATTTGGCTGAGTATTGCCTATTGATTTGTTTATCGTGAAAATCTAGATTTTTAACTTAAACCTTACCTCTGCTACCTTGTAGTTGTTATGTACCTTCTACATTGCTATCCACGCCACGTTCATTAAGGGAAACAATTGACGCGCGATTTGAATTTCCGTTTCTTTATTTTATTGCAGGGGTCTCCAAACTACGGCCCGCGGACCGGATGCTGCCCGCGAGGTCCTCTCATCCGGCCCGCGGGGATCTTTTTGTGCACGGAAAAAAACATTTGTTGGTGATGGCTGGGGAACTTTGCCCAGAAAAATCAAAGACATGCCCAGAAGAAACTGGCCCCCGAACTGAAATTTGATAGTAAATGCGGCCCTCGGACTGAAAAGTTTGGAGACCCAAAATTTATTGTATTCCAGTGAAAAAAAAACTACGAGCATGATTATTCAACTGTAACTCAGCTGTAATCGCTTCATCAGAAAATGAGATGACTGAATTAAATGTTATGCTTTATAAATCTCTGTTTTGTTTTATTAAAAATATTTCTACTCGCATCTTACCGCTTCATTATCAGTGAGTCTGTTAGTCTGGAGACATTTATTTTATTTTCGTTGTATTTTTTTAAATTTCTTCGGAGTTAATATTAGCCGAAACGTTTAATGTGAGATATGGGAGTGATTTCCCCCTAAAATTTCTCGTACGATCTTATATAAGAGTAGGGAGTGGTACTTCCAGGTGTATAGAAATATTTATTTTTAAGACTTACTTTTTTTTTTTAAATCAAATAAAATCGCGCCGAAAAAAAAAATAATTGCGCACCAAATCAAGTGTGAGCATAAAAGACCATGAAATGTGTACTTTCTAAACTAAAAATTTCTTACATTTTTTGTGAAATCCGAAATAGCGTGAAGTACTACTTCCTATCGCCGGCTATCAATCATTCAAAATTTGAAGAAAAAACAACGAATAAGATCATTTACCTATGTATGAACATTTGCCTAGATAACTGAAATAATACTCAAGTGTTTTTGGCATTTTAGTGTTTTTAGAAACCATAAATAGAGTCAAGTATCAAATCTGGTTATTGAAAGTAAATCTAAATATAAAAGCAGTTGAAACAATTTTAAAAAAAGATGTTTTTACTTATTTGGAAAACTTCACCCGCGTAACTAAAATAGTTCTCAAATTATCGTTTTCCCTCGGAAATTATATATATATATATATATATATATATATATATATATATATATATATATATATATATATATATATATATATATATATACATATATACATATATATATATACATATATATATATATATGTACATATATATATATATATATATATATATATATATATATATATATATATATATATATATATATATATATATATATATATATATATATATATATATATATATATATATACATATATACATATATACATATATACATATACATATATACATATATATATATATACATATATATATATATATATGTATATATATATAAGTACATATATATATACATTCTGAATATAAATTCTGAATTTAGACATGTAAGGCTGATTAACTCGGGACAGTAACCATGGAGAAGATATAAGCAGTTTATCAGCCTCGATTAAAATCATTTATAATTATTAACAATCATTTACAATTTTAAATGTTTACATTTTGTCAGCCCTTCTTAGTAAACAAGACACATTTATCAGCATTTCTCTTCCCACCCCATTAGAAGCTAGCCTGTCCAATATAACTGACAAACTTTAACGTAACGTTACAAAAGTGCACAGGGATTGAAAAACACAAACACATAATATAGCATTTGTTTTTATTGCATTTGGCGTAGAAAAAAAGGTAGAACATTTAGTTTAGAAGAGTTCTCGAACTTGGTTAAATGTTTACATTTTCAATTGCTAGATTAATTATAATGTTAATATGTTTATTGGTTTGATGATTTGTAATAGTTCAACATACTAATTCAAAATATAAAAAAAAAAATTGTAATGCGATGTTTTGAGAGTGATGTTATTCGTTTTAAACAAAAGTAATGAACCTACTATAAAGATATATACGTACATGTATACATATATATATATATATATATATATATATATATATATATATATATATATATATATGTATATATGTATATATATATATATATATATATATACATATACGTGTATATGTGTGTGTATGTTTGTGTCTAAAATTTAATTTAGCAATATAGTTTTAGCTTTTTTGTGCAAAATGTCAATATTATTTATAAATGCTTGTGGTGTAGTAAAGAAAAAAAAACTAAACATTAATACTTACAACGTAGTTTTAGTTTTTAGATTTATTTTTTTATTTTTGATGATAACTGTTCAAAATAGATATTTTTTGTCAAGCAAATATTGCTTGAAACTTTTGAATTCATGATTTATTTAAATAGAACAAGTACTTATCTATGTAAAAGATACCTACAATAGGGATTAACTTAATAACTTCAGATAAACAGCATTGTATATCGTATACATTTACATATCCCAGATGTTTCCTTTCTATACTTGATACATCTAAGAAAAGACTTGGATTGTGGATGTATCGCTGCTAGAAAACATTACACCTGTATGGGGGGTCGTCAATGCAGCTAAACACCTCAAAAAATTCTCTAGAGTTCCACGTCATCCCTCGAATTCTAAAATACATTCAAAATTATGTTATCAATAGTTATCGGGGGGGGTGGAATTTTCACGATATTAAAACTATATATATATATATATATATATATATATATATATATATATATATATATATATATATATATATATATATATATATATATACTAGACAAACTAGTGTCCAGTTGGAAAACGGACAGTCGGCTTCACTGCACAATCCAAGCCGACACACCATGTCGCCCACCCTACCGTCTTAAATCCTTGTAACCCCAAATGAATCTGTTCTGGACCCGAACCCCTGCTGTCCATCTATAACATCCAGGCTAGATAGGTAGGAGAGATTGGGTCATGGAGGAATGTTGTGAACAGAGGGGTCGGCGTGGTCGAGTCGGTAAAGCTCATGGTTGCTAAACCGAAAAGTCTCGAGTTCGAACCCTCGAGCAGATGAGGCTCGTTAGCTGGGGGCAGCCACTCTTCTAGGAGAGACAACTCCAAAATCAAACAACTGCTGCCTCGTAGTTTGTACTTTGTTGGACAAAACCAAAAAGAAAAGAAAAACAATAAGAAAAGCGGGCTGAAATCGGAGTCAATTCCGCATAACCAGTTGACACGTAACGCTTAATTGTGATAGAAGCATGGTCGAGTCGGCAAAGATAAGGCTCGATCCCTTCCAACACTAAAAATTAAGAACGAAGAAGTAGAACACTTAGCAGTAGCTAGGTAGGTTAGGTATGCGCAGCGTTAACTTTCAAACAACAAATATAACAAGTGCATTCTTCTACGAAAAAATATGAACACAATTTTTTTTTTTAAATCTCATATAGAATATAGTTAAAAAGCTATCAGAAAATAAATTCATTTTATTCTCGATTTAGAAGACCTGTTAAGAGTATCCTATTGAAAATGTATTCCATTGTTTAAACATAATAAATAGACATATTACAATTATAGCAGACAGAAAATGTTGCTTCATAACCTACAACGTAGTGTCATTCAGTGGGCGCTATGTTTTTAACATTAAAGCATGCGTTCTAGTCTTTATAATTAAAACTGTGCGTTTAAATGCATTATTGTCATTTATTTTGTTAACGTCCTTAAATGTATTTTTGTTAATACATTCATTTTGAACATAATGATGTTATAACCCGTAAACCTGCATATAATGTGTGCATATCTTTGAAACCCTCCATCTTTCCACTAGATAGCCTCACTCATTCTTATTTTCAATTTTTCTTTCCATATATATCCTTGAGGTGATTTGTCCTCTTTTCTTTGCGCCATTTTCTGATATAACTTTACCCCCACACAGACCGTATGCTGTCCCTGTTAACTCCCAAACCTCTTACCATGAAAACTATTTAATTAGTCTACAACGGGGTCGGCGTTGTCGAGTCGGTAAAGCTCATGATTGCTAAATCGAAAAGTCTCGAGTTCGAACCCTCGGGCAGATGAGGCTCGTTAACTGGGGACAGACACTATTCTAGGAGAGACAACTCCAAAATCAAACAAAAAGGCAATGGAAGCAAATCCAAAAATAAAAGCAGGCTGAAATCGGAGTCAATGGCCTTAATGGCGCATAACCAGTTGACACATATTCTTAATTGTGATGGAAGCGTGGTTGTTAAATTCGAAAAAGTCTCGAGTTCGAATACTCTGGCAGATAACACTAAAAATTAAGAACAAAGAAGAAGAAGAAGTCTACAACGTATACCTGACTTCATGAGGTGCATGCATATCGGTATCGATGTGCGTCTTCTTAACATCATCTCTGTATAACGAGCACCAGCCCTTAAATAGAAATTCATGTCTTTCTTCAAGATTTGAAAAAGAAAGTTGTGTACATGATAGAGCAAACTAAAAGCAGAAACCACTGTACCTGTGCAAAATTGAGAAAGAAAACCTGGGTGGGTTCTAAATCCAATCCTGGCAACTTCTGGTTATTTCCTCCATTTAAATGGTGCAAAGCCTGTATTCATACAAAATAAAACCTTCATTTATATATATATATATATATATATATATATATATATATATATATATATATATATATATATATACATAAATATATATATACATAAATATATTTACCAGAAAATAACATTTCTAATATGTATCCAGTTTTAAATTTAAAACTTCTTTAAATGTCAATGTTAGAGTTTTTATTTTTATTTTGTTCCTTTAACATGAGTGATGATGGTATGTGTTCAGTACCGACCAAACAGATGGCTGTACTTGTAAACAGCACTCGCTTGAAATACATGTGCAGTGTCAACTCCTTAAAATTGTCTATTCTTTGCTAATACTGAGGCTTCCTTTAACTCTTAAAAACGGAATACTTTTTTGATGATACTAGGACTTACTTTAACTCTTCACAACTATTTGCGTTCGGCCAATAGGATATTATGACGTACTTAAGTTGTTTAAACAATGTCCACCCTTAGATGTAAACTTACTAGATCGGCTAATAGGATATTATGACGTACTTAAGTTGTTTAAACAATGTCCACCCTTAGATGTAAACTTACTAGATCGGCTAATAGGATATTATGACGTACTTAAGTTGTTTAAACAATGTCCACCCTTAGATGTAAACTTACTAGATAGCTCTGCAGCAGCCCACCTTGATCAGCCAAATTATCAGATAAAGTTAGCTCTCCGTTGACCTAAAAGAAACAGAATTATTGTTTCATCTGTTTTACATTTTTTTCTAGTACTCGCTTCGTATTTGGGAAGTACCTCCTCATGTACAATAGGAGCTTTTAAGTACAGTAGAATCCAAGAAAATTGAAATTGATTGGGCTCAACATCAGTGTAAAATACTCGACTTTGTTTGACCTTTAAAATTTAGTAGACTATAAAATGCATGTGAACACAGTGTGTCAGCACGATAGCAAAATATCTGAGACATGGTATCTTAGGATTATGATCTAACTTAATATATCCCTATAGAGAGTATACTCTATTTGCAATGAAGGCTCGTAAAGTCGTACTTACATTTACTATATTTTCAACGAAGGTTCGTTAAGTCATATTTACACCTTTTGTATTGGCGAAAAGGCTCGTAAAGTCATATTTACTTCTAACTTACTGTATTGCAATGAAGGCTCGTAAAGTCGTATTTACTTTACACTTACTGTATTGCAATGAAGGCTCGTAAAGTCGTATTTACACTTACATTATATTCACCCCAAGTGTAGCTGGAAAACTGCTTCTTCAAACACTCTAAATGGCTTTGATAAGTTGCCGAATCATTACCGCCGGGACCTAATAAAAGCATCCAACATTGAATTCATTAAAGCTTTGTGATGCCTAATCATCTCTATAGCTATTGCTACATAAATAGAGTCTTTGCTATTTTGAGGTAATATTATATCAAAGTGTTCTACAATTTTAGGATGATGTTTTTCAAATGTTAGGCAATTTCATTTTTTTTCAAACTTTTGTCAAATTTATAAAATGGTTTTCAAAGTTAAGCGCAATTTTTAACATGGCTACAGGACATTACCCCAACCCCCCGGATATTACCCCCAACGCTAGACATTGGTTTGAGCCTAACCCTGACCCTAGCTCTAACCCTAACCCTAACCCTAACCCTAACCCTAACCCTAACCCTAACCCTAACCCTAACCCTAACCCTAACCCTAACCCTAATCCTAACCCTAACCCTAACCCTAACCCTAACCCTCACCCTCACCCTAACCCTAGCCCTAGCCCTAAACCTAAACCTAAACCTAAACCTAAACCTAAACCTAACCCTAACCCTAAACCTAGCTCTAATCCTAACCCTAACCCTAACCCTAACCCTAACCCTAACCCTAGCCATAGCCCTAGCCCTAGCCGTAACCCTAACCCTAACACTAACCCTAACCCTAACCCTAACCCTAACCCTAACCCTAACCCTAACCCTAACCCTAACCCTAACCCTAACCCTAACCCTAACCCTAGCCCTAGCCCTAACCCTAACCCTAACTCTAACCCTAACTCTAACCCTGTCCGGGGGGGGTAATGTCCTACTGGGCGGGGGGTAATTGACAGGGGGGAAATGCCCTGTTCCCATTTTCAACATGTGTGTATTTTAAATGCTGGGCATTTATAAGGTGTGCGTTTTTCAAATGTACCGGAAAGATGTAGGATTACTTCATGTTACAGAAAATGTTAGGTATTTGACACAAAAAGCTGAGAATCGAGCGCACAACAACACAATCCAATCAACTGCTGAGTCTACAAACAATAACCAAGAATACTTCTGCTTATTTCACTATCCATGGAATTTTATTTTATTTTATTGGATTTAAGAAACATAAATAATAATTAAATTTGTCAAAATACATTTTCACATTGAAATGGTCGAGAGTTTTCGTTTCTGTATATTAGTTTTCAGATAAAATACAAAATTATCCCAGAGAATTAAGTTATGAAGAACATCATAGAAATGCGAAAAGAATGGATAGTTCTAAATGAAAAGTCGCGAGTATGTACAAAGAAGAGGCAAGGGTCGGGCTTATGTGGGCTCTAATATCAGAGGCGTAGCGACCCTTCCCGGCGCCCGGGGACAAACTTACGATTTGCACTCACCCCCCCCCCCTTCGAACTTTTCATTTGCATCCCCCCTCAAACTTTCAATTTGGCGCCCCCCCCCCCCCTAAGGTCGGCGCCCGGGGACATGTGTGCCCCCCCCCGCCCTCACCCTCGCTACGCCTCTGTCTAATATAGAGAGCTGTCTAAAACCGAGTCCGGTGGCGAGCTTTGGTTGTAGCCCTTTGTTCCCCAGGGGCCACAAAGAAATATGTCAAGTTAGTACACATATGTTGTGTGTTTGTGGAAAACAAGTGGTTACGATTTAAAAACACGATGTCTTTATTTTAGAAGAACTGAGTAAGAAGCGTGTAATAATAGGTGGCAATCAAACAAACAAGCTCGTAAAATTAAACTTCTAAAAGCAATAGCTTGAGTGGGGGGAGTGTGATTTTAGTCTACGATCTTTAACAAAATATTAGTTTCAAGGCAAACGTGTATTAAGTGTAGCTCCAGTAGTGGTAAAGGTGTGAGTTACATTGCAGTCGTGTGAAAACACTTGCTAGTTTATTGGTGTTAGTTACCTTGTATGAGATGACTCACGAGTTAATTGGGTGAGTTATATTATAGTTGTATCAGAAGAATTACGAGTTTATAGGTGTAAGTTACGTTGCAGTTGAATGAGAAGAATTACGAGTTTATAGTTGTAAGTTACGTTGTAGTTATACGAGAAGAATTACGAGTTTATAGATGTAAGTTACGTTGTAGTTGTATGAGAAGAATTACGAGTTTATAGATGTAAGTTACGTTGTAGTTGTATGAGAAGAATTACGAGATTATAGGTGTAAGTTACGTTGTAGTTATATGAGAAGAATTACGAGTTTATAGGTGTAAGTTTCGTTGTAGTTATATGAGAAGAATTACGAGTTTATAGTTGTAAGTTACGTTGTAGTTATATGAGAAGAATTACGAGTTTATAGATGTAAGTTACGTTGTAGTTGTATGAGAAGAATTACGAGTTTATAGATGTAAGTTACGTTGTAGTTGTATGAGAAGAATTACGAGATTATAGGTGTAAGTTACGTTGTAGTTATATGAGAAGAATTACGAGTTTATAGGTGTAAGTTTCGTTGTAGTTATATGAGAAGAATTACGAGTTTATAGTTGTAAGTTACGTTGTAGTTGTATGAGAAGAATTACGAGTTTATAGGTGTAAGTTACGTTGTAGTTGTATGAGAAGAATTACGAGTTTATAGTTGTAAGTTACGTTGTAGTTGTATGAGAAGAATTACGAGTTTATAGGTGTAAGTTACGTTGTAGTTGTATGAGAAGAATTACGAGTTTATAGGTGTAAGTTACGTTGTAGTTATATGAGAAGAATTACGAGTTTATAGGTGTAAGTTACGTTGTAGTTATATGAGAAGAATAACGAGTTTATAGGTGTAAGTTACGTTGTAGTTGTATGAGAAGAATTACGAGTTTATAGGTGTAAGTTACGTTGTAGTTATATGAGAAGAATAACGAGTTTATAGGTGTAAGTTACGTTGTAGTTGTATACGAAGAATTACTATTTCAATCGTGTGAGTTACCGTACAGTTGAATGAAATACTTACTAGTTAATACCTGTAAGTTACCCTGTAGTTGTAAGAAAAGACTTACTAGCGATTTTAAAGGTGTCTGTTATCTCATGGCCGATGATGAACCCTATACCGCCATAATTCATAGAGCTAAAAAATTGTGATCAATATTGTTTTACACAAAGCATGTAAAATATAAAATAATTCTTTAGTATTGATGTATACTATTTGCATTAAATCGAGTCAAAAGAGAACTATTAAATTTACGAGTCAGAAAGTAAAGTATTTCATCATTACGGGTACAAATAATTAATAGTCAGACCAAAAAGAAATTGCAGATGTGAACAAAAGATGAGTCAAATTTCAAGCGAATGTGAGAAAACTGCGCTAAACAGAGTGCCGTTGAGAGACGAAGTTGTGACTATTGAGGATATTATAGTGATGATGTTGATAGCAATACTGCTGACGACCAATGTATCGGCGATGATGGTGATGATGGTGATGATGGTGTGATGATGGTAATAATGCTGGTGGTGTTAACTAATACATTTTTGTCCGTCTCTTTTACCTGGAATATTCTGGATTATAAAATGGTTCCTCCAGAATACCAACAGGTATAGCTGATAAATAAATATAATTATACAACTTATATTTATAATTAACAATATTACATGTCTACAAATACTAATGACAATAAAATGTGTTTATGTATTTTTTATATTTAAATAGCAATTTTATGTTTTATTTCTCTATGATTAGATTTTATTAACTTTTACATTATGTAGGCCTGTATATTCTTTCCGGAGTTGTATATTTAAATTAATTTTAAAAAGACATTTTCATTCAATGCTAAACTTACTGATATCATGATTATCAGGATCATAAACGACATCAACGCTTGCGGCTGAAAGTATCCACCTAGGTGAGTGGACAGATTGTTCAAATTATTGAAACCGGTGTATACATTACACAAATGAACAAAGGTATATTGGATGCACTTTAAGTATTCATCACTCGTCGTTGGTCGTTATTAAAATCCAAAATCAAGTAATTATGTAACGAAATTTAAATTACCACCTTACTTTTTGTAATTAGGCTTTAGCCTTCTTGTTTCATCTGTTATAAGGCGCTTGGAACAGGCTAATTTCGCCTCGAAATATTCCGCTTCACCTTTCAGAAACTGTAGAAATAAAATATTTTCGTCAAATTGAACATCGACCAGCATAAACGTGTATTCGCATTCCTTAAGTTTCAAATTAATTTTTTTTACATATTACTATTTTAAAAAATATATTTTAACAATTTTAAATTTAAAAATTAAATTTTAATGTAATTTTATAACATTAATCTGCGGCGAAAAATCAGAAAAAATACAATATGTAACGAGTTTAGCTACCATCCATCTTCAAATAAGCTTACTCTCTTGTAAATTGTTGCTACTTGTACGCTACTTTGATGATGGGCCAATTTTCAAAACACCAAACGATTATGTGTCACTTACTTCGTAAAGCTCAACTTTATCCTCTTGAAAAATATAATCTGGATATCCTATATTAAAAGTCAAGGAGAGAAGCTGAAATATAAATTAGGCACGGTTAAACGTTTGCACTTAGAGAAACTTGAACATTAGCATCAGCACTAGCTCTAAGACTATGGTCTTAATATCAATACTCAGAAATAGGTCTAAACAAAGGATCAACCATTCAAATTATTAACCTGGAACATTAGGAATAGAGTAGTTCACCCATTTCTGTCCAAAGAAAGAATTGTTTAGCCTTTGTTTGTTAAAGACAACCGCAATTTATTAGTTGGTGTGTTTGTTAATAGGTTTGTGTGAATATTTATGTGTTGGTTTATGTTATTGTTTTGTGTAGGTTTATGTAACTAGTTTTTGTGTAGGTTTATGTAACTAGTTTTTGTATAGGTTTATGTAACTACTTTTTGTGTATGCTCATGTGCATGTCTTTGTGTAGTTTTGTTGTGTAGGTTTATGTATTTAGTTGTGACTAGGTTTCTAAAAGTTCGTTCATGTAAACAGTACGCCTGTTTGTGTACGTTTATGAAAATCGTTTTTCGTGTAGTTTTGTGGACATAATTTTTCGTGTAGGTTAATGTGAATAGTTTGTGTGAACATAATTGGGTGTAGTTTGTGTGTAAGTATATGTGTACATGTGTATGTATATTATGTGAATAATCTATGCGTAAGTATAAGCGAACAATGACGTCTACATTGTCTGTGATTCAAATCATAGTAATAAAAACCAAGAGTCTAAATTACAGCTATTGTAGGCATGAATCGTTGTTATTATCCTTTTCACTCTTATATAGGTTTTATTAAGATTTAACTAGTTGTATCATTAACTTCATTTTAAAGTTTTATTGCCCAGAAATCCCGTGCAGAAATTGTGTGCACCAGACATATTCGACATCGTGTTGCAAATCTTTAAATAAATAATACAAATTTTAAAAATCAGATGAAACATAATTATTTCGATTTTTTTTTTTCCTGATCGATGAACCTGTAGTCAGTAGCTTAGACAACCATCTCTGCATGCTTTTTTACTTTCTCGTATATACGAAGTATACAGAAAGTATTGTAATCGTGCATAAAAATTACTTGAAATTTTAACAATTTTCACCGTATTACACCTCAGTCCTTCATCACATCCGAAGTATAGAGGACTTATTTTAATCGGGCAAAAATTATCAATCCAGATTTATCAAAATTAAGAGGTTTTATGCGTAATCCAGTCTGAAAAACTGGGCTTTGCAATTCTGTCCGTATGTCTGTGTGTCTGTGTGTCTGTGTGTCTGTCTGTCTGTCCGTGTGTAAACACGATAACTTGAGTACCGTTACAGCTAGGTTGATGAAATTTCATATATAAGTATTTTATCAAAATCGTAGCCGTATCAACTTTTGAGCGATTTCCGATAACCGGAAGTGGTACTTTTTCTACTTTGAATTTTTCAAAAGCCTATAACTTGAGCACTATTTCAGATAGATAAATGAAATTTCACATGTAAGTAAAATATCTAATTCTCTACTTTCTGTTAAATTTTGAGTAATTTCCATTGACCGGAAGTTGTAATTTACGCTACTTCCGATTTCTCAAAAAGCTAATGTAAATGTTTAAAGTACTAATGATATTGCGCACTATTATGCACTTTTTTGTTTGGCGTTCACTTGGTGTGCAATTAATTTGTCTACGAGATTTTATTCTATTTTTAAAACTTTAAGTATTTAAAATGGATTAAAAATCATGTCTATAGCACGAGTCCCCATCCCCTGTTGTTTTATATAAGAAAATTTGAGAAAGTTTAGGGGAGATCACTCCCGGTTTATTTTAGATGATTTGCAAAAAGAATTTACCGATTCTTTAGTGGCCGCTTTTGTGGCATCTGATAACCAAAAATTGGTCTGTATCAGCTCTTTAAATGAATCCCTAAGTGCCTTTGCCATCGTTTCAATCTGTGGAAGTTTTTACGCTTTAATTTAATTTAAGTAGAAAAGTATTAAAAAGAACTCTGAAAACCTTTTTCAAATATTTTTTTTCGCAGCGTGAACGACGTCACGCATTGCAGGGGCTAAACACTGTATGAACTTACGATTGCTGATTGGGTATAACGGAACGCAGGGCACTTAGACAAGCTCAAGCTTACTTACCCACATGCTACTGTACGATTGTACGAATAGAACAACATGCTAAATCTAACTTCATCGTCTTACTTACATGTACACACACACACATATATATATATATATATATATATATATATATATATATATATATATATATATATATATATATATATATATATATATATATGGTATTTAAAAAAAATGAAAGTCAGATGCGGTTCGACACCTTTTATCACAGTGCTTTAAAACTTTAAGGAGTTGATGAGAATAATCCATGAATCTGTTAACAAAATAATTAAAATTTGATATGAGCGACACCCGGGAGGGTGCGATTTTTTGTCATTACACAATTGGGCGCCGAGAGTTCCTAATCGGCTATGTTAGCACTTGGCATCCGTTAATCGTACGTCTTGCATATCGGGTAAGGAATATTATATTCAGCGTTAAAACTTCAACAGGCGCAACCGCCGGCGCCCCGTAGATAGCACGACCATAGCGCCGCAGGTTCCCCTGCAAGCACTATAAAGCACCCCTCTACGTCCCTGACACATGGGCGGTCACCGAAGTGTGTTCTACCTCATTATTTCGGAGAGTGATTAACGTATACTCAAGGTTTTCATGCGGTAAAGTAGGTATACCAGTGTCCTGATATTTACGATCCAAGAGCAGGCATTGTTTATATTCGTCTAAGAACATAGTACGCTAGTATATATATATATATATATATATATATATATATATATATATATATATATATATATATATATATATATATATATATATATATATATATATATATATATATATATTATATATATATATATATATATATATATATATATATATATATAAAAATATATTATATATATATATAGAGAGAGAGAGAGAGAGGGATAAATATATATACTGATTTATCCATACTACAATAGCTATGTATATTATACATATATATATATATAAATATATACTTATATATATAAATATTTATTACATATATATATATATATATATATATATATATATATATATATATATATATATATATATATATATATATACTTATATATATAAATATTTATTACATATATATATATATATATATATATATATATATATAGAGAGAGAGAGAGAGAGAGAGAGAGAGAGAGAGAGAGAGAGAGAGAGAGAGAGAGAGAGAGAGAGAGAGAAATATTTATACTGATTTATCCATATTACAATAGCTATAAATGACTAGACTTTTTAAGAGTATACCTACTGGCTGTTTGTTAAAGTTGGGGTAATATTTCTCCACGTACATACGACCGAGAGCGTCAGGCAATTCTATCAACATGTCGTTAACACACATTCTCCACCGGGGAGGTAAATCTATCTCCATTTTCTCCTGCATCGGTCAGAGTTTAGAATTAGATTCCATTTTTCTAAATTTTAATAGCTTTTAATAATTTCAAAATAAAATTAAGCTGTTAGAATCCTGATTTTCTTTCCCCTTGTTTTATGAATCAAATTTTAAAATATTTTAGGCTTTAGTAACTGACAAATTCAGGACGTAAAAATATATTTGCTTCAAGATGTCACAAAATCTAAATGTAATATTTATTGGTTTTTATATATCCCTGACCTTCATTGACACTGATAAATGCGCATCGGAAACCAATGCGCGCAGAAAAATTCGCACACAGAAAAATGCGCACACAGAAACAATTCACACACAGAAAGATTCACACACAAATAAACGCGCACAAAAAAAACATTCAGACACAGAAATATGCTCAAGCAGAAATATGCGCACACAAAAAATACGCACCCAAAACAAATACGTACATAGAAAAAAATATGTTCACATAAAAAATAAGCACACAGAAAAACACGCACACAGTAAAAATACGCACACAGAAAAATAGGCACACAGAAAAATAGGCACAAAAAAAATACACGCGTACAAAAAAAATACGCGTACAGAAAAAATACGCACACACACAAAATATGCACACAGAAACCACGCAACCACATTTACCAGCCTTACACGTTTCTCGTGGTTTTTCACTCCCCCCCCCCCCCCCCGCTCCCCTCCCAATTTCTCCCTGGAGCTGTTAAGTACAAACCATCTCTAAATCCTGCCTAACACTTTTCTCCAGGTTTTTCCAACCCGAGATCCCAACCCCTTGGCCCTCCCAATGTTTCCCTGTACAAACCATCTCTAAATCCTGCTTTGGGATCAAGTATTCTCTTCCAACTAGGGTACTCAAAACTTGTGTCCTAGACAAAAGATATTCAGCCAATACCCTACAACATAAGAATTTGTACAAGTCAACCTCAAATATAATTTTTACCTGATTTAAGGCTAGACATCGATTTTTTAATCAATATTCCTTCGATAAGGGGGTCGTCCCAAAATGACGTCACACTCGTAATTTAATTTTTTGACGGTGTGTGATGAAGGGGGGAAGGGGTGGGGGTGGGGGGCTCAGATGGTGTGACCTCAATTTTTTGCATTATAAAAAAAGCCATGGTTAGAATACGAGTTTTGGCCGTTATTTCGAGTCTTAGAAAACGGTTTTAATAAATTGTAATGGGAATTGATAAAAAATACTCTATTTTGACAGAGTTCAGGCAAGATATTGGAAAATTATCGATGTTTTAAGAAAAATTCAACTGCAATTTTGAGGTGGTTAGGAGGCTGAGGTGTGACGCCATTTTAGGGGGGGGAGTCTGGCTTTTTGTAACGATGTGTGACGGAGGGGAGGGGGGAGGTAAAAATCGTACAAAAAAGCGTGACGTCAGTTATGGATGACCCCTAAGTTATTTATGTTATTCTACAAAAACTATGCAGGTGCGGACTAACCCAATCATTATAAAACGCAATATCATTAGAAGTAATTATACCTTTTCGAAGTACTATTGAGGATACTCTCTAATACATTCATGTAATCTTCTCGCATAAGAATAACTGTTGTATCATCCTTAACCGAGAGTCCTAGGTTGACCTCATCAAAACGCGCTTGTAAGAACTGCGTCCAGTTTACCTAAATAAAGAACTTTACATTTATATTCGCTCATAGTGTGATTCAGGTAAGAATTGCGACCAGTTTACCTAAATAAAGAACTTTACATTTATATTCGCTCATAGTGTGATTCAGATTGTGCTTTTATTACTGAACAGCAATTATGTTGTTTTTTTTGTTTGTTTGTTTTGTTTTTTTGTTTGTTTTTATTTGGGGGGGGGGGGGGGCTGGGGATGGGTAATAAGTTGATGGCGATGTTGACGACGGTGAGGGTAATGATGTTAATAAAAACAGTGCATACGATTATTACGATGATGTTGATGCTGATAGGAATCGAACGATATGGTAATAATGAAATATCTGGAACAATATCGATAATAAAGATAATGATGAAGACCATGGTTGATCATGATCTCCATTATGGTGCAGATGATTATGAAGATGGTGATAATAATGATGATGATGATGATGATGATGATGATGATGATGATGATGATGATGATGATGATGTTGATTATGATTATGATTATGAAGATGGTGATGATGATGATGATGATTATGATGATGATGATGATGATGATGATGATGATGATGATGATGACGATGATGATGATGATGATGATGATGATGATGATGATGATGACGATGATGATGGTGATGATGATGATGATGATGATGATGATGATTATGATTATGATGAGGATGAGTATAATCAGATGAGATCATATGACATTAACAGGCAGGAGTAAAGTCGTTCTCATGCATTACAACATAAGGCACGGTAGGTAGAAATTTAAATGCGATTTTCCCACGCCACTCTGGGTACGTCTTTACAGTCATTTAATCACAAAACTTTATACCATCTATCAAAAGATAAATGTGTTTACCCAAGGATGCTTGATTCCTAGATCCAGAACAGTCACGGCTTTCGGAGCTGTGTAGAGAGCCTGAAAAAAAAATCGCATTCCAATGTATTGACTGTGTTTAATAATAATTGTATTGTAATCCTCTTACGTTTATCACAATAAGTTTAAGCATAAACCTTAAGCACATCAAAGTAGTGATTGACTTTAGTGTAATTGCAAAATACTTTTAAACAAAATATTTTTTTGTTTCGTATTCAGATGTTCAAGTAATAACAAAAAAGAGAATTTTTTTAAAATAATTTTATATTTGTTATATATAGGCCTAGTTTTAATTTCTGTAACAAACATAAAATAACTGTCGATTCCAGTAATTAGAAAACGTTTTTCCAGACAAATACATTATCTATATTGCAAATGTTAAAGCAATTAAATTCAGGAAACCTACCCCTTCTCCACTTAACGCTACAAAAAGTGAAATAAGAATATTCTTCTCCACCCCCCCCCCCCAATGACGTAAAAGAACATAAAACCAGAATGTTCTACCCCTACCCCAGTGACTAGTAAAAAAAAAAAGTTTCCCTTTCAAACCTGACGGTCTATGGGGCAAGTGAAGTAGAGTTCACTTGTTTCTGTGACCTAGGCATATTAAGAGATAGTGTGGTCAGCACTATGCCCAGCCGCCTTTACTTTCCCTAACGTGAGTTGGGTGCTCATCAGAGTTGGGTGGACTCAGGGACGGTTTACTGACTTGAACCCGGATTCGAACACGAGACTTACGGGTTAGAAGTCCAGCTTTTTACCGCTAGGCCACTCCGCCCCATACCCCCGTAACTACAGATTTTTAAAAAATTGAACATTCGTCCCCATTCTATTAAAGCTACGAACAACACACCCAACTCGCTCGTTGAACATCAAAGACACAACAAGAAATGAAACCCGTTACCATATTCCCGACGGCGTCGGAAATTTTCTTATTCAAATCAATGATAGCATCGATATTAGTTGTCTCGTTAATTCCAAGAAAAGTATAGTATTCCTCTAGCAACGGTTTCTCTTCTCTGCCTGGCCTGAGTACACCATAAGCTTCATCGGTCATCGGTACTCCAACCTAGGCATTAGAAAACAATTAATCTCCTTCTTCTTCTTCTTCGTTCATAATTTTAGTGTAGGACGGTATCCCCTCCAACACAATTGTTATTTTACATTTGTCATGATCATTGTATAGGGATGTATTTATACTTTAAAAATCCTAATTAAATGCATGTTAAACGAATACATACATGGATTGTAAACTCATTATTATTTAGCTCCGACTTTTCTATTAAGATCCTTATTAGCGGCATCAGACCTAAAGGCAATAAAACAAATAATTTTAAAACAATCTTGAAATGGGACCAATGTATGAAATAATGAACAAAATAATGAACCATTGATTTGACCTACCAATTGCGTCAAATTTAGCCATTACACGCGTTAGATCGAACGCTTCTTGAGTCCATGCGCTATCCAAACCTGGGAACGACCCCATGCTGCGCAGCAGGTTTAACATCGGCCCAGCACCGCGTTCTTTGATCTTATCTACAAATATAAGTTGTATTAGTTGAAGGGAGGAGGAGGGGTACGTAAGGGATGAGGGAGGGGGGTGAAGGGAGGGGAAGGGGTAGGTGAAGGGAGGGGAAGGGGTAGGTGAAGGGAGGGGGAGGGGTAGGTGAAAGGAGGGGAAGGGGGGGTGAAGGGAGGGGGAGGGGTACGTAAGGGATGGTTGAGGGGGGGGTGAAGGGAGGGGGGAGATGAAGGGAGGGGGGAGGTGAAGGGAGGGGGAGGAGTACGTGAGGGATGGGGGAGGGGGAGGTAAAGGGAGGGTGAGGGTAAGTGAAGGGGGGAGGGGTAGATAAGGGATGAGGAGGCGGAGGGGGTAGGTAAGGGATGGGGAGGGGAGGGGTAGGTGAAGGGGGGACAGGGAGGTACGGGATGGGGAGGGGAGTGGTAGGTGAACGGATGGCGGAGGGGGTATCATCTGAAATGACAAACACGGTACAATACAAGAAGATAATTTTTCTATGCTTTAAAAATTATTGATGTACAGCCCTTTTGGATTTCAATCAACGTTAGCCCATTGTATACCTCATTCTCTACTACCAACAAGTGTTTCTTGCAGACATTTTTATCGCGGGTGGTGGGTAAGGAGGGCATTTTCTTTTAAAAATCTGTGCGTGCAATTAAATGTCAAGTTGGGGGAGGAGGTGGCGGACACTGGTTAAGGTGTATATAGGGTTGTCTGGTGTCCAGTTTTGAACTGGAGACGGTTCAGTATTTGAGCAGACTGTCCAGGATAAAATAAATATAAATACTGGACAAGTATATGAATAATACTCTGTTACCCCCCTTCTTCTGCTTTGCGGCATACCTGAGAAGGGAAGGATGGAAAGGTGTCCAGTATTTTCGGAAAAGGTATCTGGCAACCCTAGGTGTATATTGTCTATATCAATTAAATTGTTATATTTTCTAACTCGTCCAAGGAACGGGATATCACATGGGGTACTGGACTTCGCTGTTAGATATAAACACTTTGTTTCTCGCAGTCGGTTTTCACACATTCGTTGTTGAAGTCGACGACTAACATGTTTTTCAAGTGCGAGGATAATGTTAGTGTCATCTACCACGCATCAACGTGCCTGAATATACAAGGTATACTGTTTTGATTCTTTAAAAAAAAATTCTAATTTTGAAATTGTAATACTTACTTGTTTAAATTAGTTTCATTTGATCATTTATTATATTTTAGTTCCTGTTGTTTTTTTTTTATTTCTTTGCTAAGACTTCATTGCCTATAAAATTTGTCTTACCGGTGTTTATGCATGCAGCAAAATACGATTTAGCCGCCACCATATGAGCTTTATCTGTTCCTGCCTCTTGCGATGATAGCAGGTCTGATAAAAATACAATAGAAATAGCTTTATCTGCTACTTTTTTTTAAATTGTTAGTATTATACTCTTTTGAAATTAATCCAACAATTTCAGAGTATTTTTGTTTTTTTTTTTAAATTTTCAATAGGCCCTATATCTACTTGCATGACTTTAACTTAATTTGTAAAATATCTACTTGTTTAATTTCCTGACATTTCAGCCAAAGGTTATACAAAACATAAATAAGACAACTGATAATGCTGCTATAATGTAATAAACCTTTATACTGGCATTTCCTTAAAACGCCATTGAATATATTTGGTAAATGTTATAATCAACCGTTAAATGTATTTAGATAATATAAAACTTAAACTAGGATTTTAGTCAACGTGGCTATTTCTATTGTGTTAATTCATTATGCATTCAATGTTGGTAAAAACAATTTCAAAAGTTTAAACTCAAAATGGGATGGTTTTTGGTCACATCTACAACTTCGTCATTATTCTCTGAATCGTATCTAAGGTAACGCAGATGAAGTAGAGTCCATATGTTTTTGGCCCACGGAATATGAAGGGATGGTGTGCTCAGCATTATTCCCAGCCGCGTTTACTTTCCCCAACGTGAGTCAGGTACCCACCCGAGCTGGGTAGACTCAGTGACGTCTTACATTCCGGAGTCAGCTCCGAGATCCGAACTCGAGACTTTCGGACATTCGATCACGTGGTCCCACGTGATTCGTATTTGGGGTGTTAATAAGAATAATATAAACATAGCTATGATTGTGTACGGCATGAAAACGTTCACTAAATGATTTACGTAACCTATACAGATCAAGACAACTTGTATTTGATATAGTACCCCAACCATACTGAAAAATCATACAATCCATACACATATCGTAAAACGATCTTACCTTTCAGCCTTTCAGCAACCTTATCAATTAGCGAAAATACAGGACCCCTCATAATTTCGTGGTCCTGTAACGGGTATCTTTTCCGCCATCCACCGCACGCGTATTCGTAGAAATCTAGGCAGGGGTTGGCTTCTTTATCCATGTAATCCATCATTCTTGTTACTATTACCAAATAGAAAAAAACCGACTAGAATTGCAAAGTAACTTTGCAAATTTAACAACATTTACATCAAATAGATAAAAAAAACTGTTTTACACTACATTAAAACAAAATGTTTTGCTCGCTTTACATAAATGAGAATTGTAGTTACATTTAAAAATGATTTAATGAAAACAATCTTCCGTATATTTTTAATCAAGAACGCTTTGAGCAAATACTGATGTTACTATGCCCGACTACTTTGATTAAATATTTGTTAACTTTTTTTAAGTACACGTTTTTGAAAAGAGAAAGTAGTAACAATGACTAAGCTAGATAGTGGGAAGATAACTTTGTTTTAAATCTGCTTGTACAAACTTGCGTTACAGATGGCTCCTTCACAAACGTATGGCGGTGTAGTTGTTTCTTCTTCTGTTGTATCTGTATAGTAAATAGTCAATAGACTTATATAAAAACATGGATACGATGACCTTTTGTATATATAACAAATCGACGTATGCAGGCAACACTGCGAAAAATGGAGTTATATATATATATATATATATATATATATATATATATATATATATATATATATATATATATATATATATATATATACATTTATTTATTTATTTACTTATATATATACATTTATATTTATGTATTTACATATGTCAGACAGACAGACAGAAAGACAGACAGACAGACAGACAGGCAGGCAGGCAGGCAGGCAGGCAGACTGACAGACCGACGGACAGACAGACAGACGGACAGACGGACAGACGAACAGGCGGACAGGCGGACAGACGGACAGACGGACAGACAGACAGACTTGACCCACCTCCAGTTGGGAGAGGGGCTGGTGTTGGATCGGTAATTGGCCCCCACGTTGGTTCAACTGTGAGAAAGACAACAATATATATCTATATATCTATCTATCTATCTATATATCTATATATATATATATATATATATATATATATATATATATATATATATATATATACTATTATATACACTTTTTAGATTCATTTATACAATAGTCTGTAAAAGTATATGTCATCATATATTTTACTTAAATACTTCCTACAATTACTCAGAGCAAGGTAAAAAGAAGATAGTACATACATGTTTCACCACAGTCTGGACCTTCACAGACATTTTCACCTGATAGGTGTAAGGGGGGGGGGGGGTGTACAAGTTAGAATTTACAAACAAACAAATAAAATTGTTAGTTTCTGTTGTTGGTTTTTTTACTTTCTAGTATATACGTAGTATAGAGAAAGTATTGTAATCGTGCAAAAAAAAATCGAGATTTTTACAAATCTCGACGTTTTACACCTCACTGATACGGAAAAACACAATTTTGCAATCTTGTCCGTATGTCTGTGTGTCTGTGTGTGTGTGTGTGTGTCTGTGTGTGTGTGTGTGTGTGTGTGTAAACACGATTACTTGAGTACCGTTACAGCTAGGTTGATGAAATTTCATATATAAGTATTTTATCAAAATCGTAGATCCGTATCAACTTTTGAGCGATTTCCGATAACCGGAAGTGGTACATTTTCTACTTTGAATTTTTCAAAAGCCTATAACTTGAGTACTATTTCAGATAGATAAATGAAATTTCACATGTAAGTAAAAGATCAAATTCTCTACCTTCTGTTAAATTTTGAGTAATTTCCGTTGACGGGAAGTACTAATTTACGCTATTTCCGATTTTTAAAAAACGCCTCTAAATTTATAAAGTACTAATAATATTGCGCACCATTATGAACATCTTTATTCGGCGTTCGCTTGGTGTGCAATACTTTTTTCTATGAGATTCTATTTATTTTAAAAAGTTTATGTATTTAAAATGGATTAAAATCATAACTATATCCCGAGTTCCCATCCCCTGTTGTTTTATATAAGAATATTCGAGAAAGTTTAGGGGAGATTACTCCCGGTTTATTTTTGATATGTGTGTGAAGTTTTTTTTTTTTTTTTTATCTTTATCATCACAATCATTGTGCGGGGCTTTACTTTTATCAAACTACGCCTTTTGATAAGTTAAGAAAACCATGACATCTATTCACTAAGCAACTAAGGGTTTTTTTATTCACATAATTAGAAATGTGTAAGAAGTGTATTAATACATTACCGGCATTTGTGGTTGGAGTTTCCTCTGAAATAAATAAAGTCAGTTAACAATATCTAAGAAATTGTGAATGAGGTATGTTTCGCAACGAAACAACGAACAACATGTTCCTGTCTTAAAACCCCTACTAAGCATAAAGAACGCATTTATTTTTTCCTGAAAATCATACTTTAAAAAGCTAACGCTGTAATGTGTTATTTTACCTTTTTTGGGATCCACTTTGAAGGCGGTAAAAACGAACAGTGCAATGCAACCCACCACGAAGAAATAAAAGAGGATAACGAACAGAGGCCTGTAGAGGTTCATGTTTCACTGTGGCATTGAAGACGTTACCTGACTTGCTGGTGTTCACCTAAAATCTAGTTAGATTTTACAAAACGTTTCTTAGAGAAAAATCGAGAACGTGGCGATACATGAGACAGGTGGAGTAAGTTCACCTTGTGATGTGGCCTAAGCGTGTGAAATAATCGCGAGGTCAGCGCTACGCCCAGGCGATTTTAATATCCTTCGCTACCCATCTGAACTGGGGGGGGGGGTCGTGATCCGAACTCGCGACATCCACTATAGCGGTTTTTCGCTCTACCAATTGAGCACGCCTTCCCATGCCGAGCGCAAGAGGCACCGCATCTGCAACCGTAAACGTAAGCGTAACCGTAAACATAAGCGTAAGCGTAGCCGTAATGTTTGAGTAAGCCTCAGCCTCAGTAATAGCCTTAGTCTCAGACGTTGTAGTAGCCGTAACCGTAACCGTAACCGTAACCGTAACCGTAACCGTAACCGTAACCGTAACCGTAACCGTAACCGTAACCGTAACCGTAACCGTAACCGTAACCGTAACCGTAACCGTAACCGTAACCGTAACCGTAACCGTAACCGTAACCGTAACCGTAACCGTAACCGTAACCGTAACCGTAACCGTAACCGTAACCGTAACCGTAACCGTAACCGTAACCGTAACCGCAACCGTAACCGCAACCGCAACCGTAACCGTAACCGTAACCGTAGCCGTAGCCGTAGCCGTAGCCGTAGCCGTAGTCGTAGCCGTAGCCGTAGCCGTAGCCGTAGCCGTAGCCGTATGCGTAACCGTAGGCGTAGCCGTAATAGTAACCGAAGCGGTCGCTGTAGCCGTAGCTGTAACCATAAGGATAGCTATAGCCAAAGCCACAGCCACAGCCATCGCCACAGCCACAGCCACATCCATAGCCATAGTCATAGCACAATAGCGTTAGCTATATCCCAGCAATAGATGTAGCCCTAGTTATATTTCCATAGCCGGAGATTTTTGAGTAAATGGTGTTACAGGAATGAAACCATGCTCTATGACCAATGATATAACCATTCATAGTTTATCATACCAAAAGTGAAACTTCAAATTAAATCATTGGATTGTTAATAGTAAACAAATGTTTTACCATAAAAACGTAATTTTAGTGTCTCTGCATTTTCAAATTAATGTTATAATATTGAACCTTAATATTCTTAATATAATATTACATTTCTAGATTGGATTTCTGTTCGATTATAATAACAATAATTAAAGAAGTCTAGACAGAACCTTTTGTTATTTATTTACTCAGATCTAAACACAGATCTGGATTTGCTGTGCTTATACACCCTCGCACTATACGCCACTATTTTATAGCAAACACACTTAAATTCTGCACCTGATACTTCTAATAAAACTAAAAATACTCATCCCAGTACAATACCGCTGGTTTTATTAAGACATTGAAGGACAGCAAACCACAATCCAAGAATTCATAAGGATTTTTCACTTTCTGTTGCTGTTGTACATTTTTTAAAGCGTAAAACTTGCGGTAGAAAAATGTGCACAATCGGAAATATCCGATATATTTTGCAAAGTTGGTTCGCACTTTGAACAGAATCTGAAATAGGGCCTATTTAATAACATTTTCTCATATTAAACCTAGAGCTAACTTTGCGCATGGAGATTCACGAGTTGATGAGAGTTCTTGAAACATTATTGTTGAAATTGATAAATATCGTAGCATTTTAAAAATTAAAAAAAAAAATAGGCTGAAATTAATCAATGTTATAAAGTTGCAAATCCAGAGAATTTCTTTTTTTAATTTTGAGTTTGAAAGGCTACTTTTCTATTTATATTCATCACACCTGAGTTATAACTTGATTCTCTGTAATGGAACTTCGTGACTGATATTCTAAACACCCCACTTTAAAAAACCCATAGTAATTTATTCTCAAAACACTGTCGATAAAAATGTTTAATAATTTTCTTCCAACAACATGACCGTGATCTGTCATTTTTGTGTATTTTCTGCTACAAGATGTAAATCACAATTTGTTTTTGGCTTTTCTTTAAATTTGTAAGTTGCTGAGAATATTAAAACTATCAAATATATCCAATTTTAGGTCGAGACTAACAAAAACCAAACAGGGCTCGAAGAGGTAAAATTTGATATTTTTGTTTGCATTTCGACGATTGGCCTTAGAGAATTGTGAAAAAAATCAGGTTCTAAAGCCAAATTGAAACAGATCAGGTTGGGTGTTGACTTCTTCTTCTTCTTCGTTCTTAATTATTAGTGTTGAAGGGGATCGAGATTTGTCTGCCAGTGGGTTTGAAATCGAGACTATGTTCGAATTTATCAACCTTGAGCTTTTTGCCGACTCAACCCCGCATCCAACACAATTAAGCGTTACGTGTCAACTGGTTATGCGCCATTGAGGCCATTGACTCCGATTTCAGCCTGCTTTTCTTTTTGGATTTGCTTCCATAGCCTTTGTCCAATCAAGAACAGCAGTTGTTTAATTTTGGAGTTGTCTCTCCTAGAAGAGTGGCTGTCCCCAGCTAACGAGCCTCATCTGCCCGAGGGTTCGAACTCGAGACTTTTCGGTTTAGCAACCATGAGCTTTACCGACTCGACCACGCAATTCTTTTGTTTGAAGATGTTGGTTCATAAAGCTCTTTTCAAAGTCACCGAGTCCAGGTTTAAGGATAAGTTTAGGGATAAATGACCTACAATCCCTTAATATGACGAGATCAAAGGTGACTGCTCTATCCCTTCATATTGTTCGGTCCTTTGATCTTTCATTGGACAAGGCCAAATTTGACTATACAAAACGTAATGTTGAATTCAATCACAAAGATATTTTCATATTACGAGGCTAAATCTGACTGTAAAATCCATTGACAGTGTGCTGCTAAGAGTGACCATTCAATCCCTTTATTTAACGAGGTCATTATACTTCATTACACTTTAAACTGTAAATAGTAATGCAGTGTTTTAGTTACCGTCATTTTCTGATTCAAACAGCAGTGTAAAACAAGCAAGGTCTTTATTTTCTGCATACTCAATAAACACAAATTTTTATTTGTATCGAGCTAAGTTTTTAGTTCATAACCAGCACTAGTTAGGATATGTAAGGGCGGCTGGACTTAGTGATGACCACACTATCTCTGCATATGCCTTAGTCACAGAAACAAGTGAACTCTTCTTCACTTGCCCCATAGGCCGTCAGGTTTGAAAGGGAACTTTACTACAACACTAGTATGGGACTTATTCTAATCGTTTGGTCGGTATATACCCCACCTGTTAACAATGGACTTGTTTTATAAGTAAGAAACAAACAAATAACTGTAACACAACTAAAAAAACATGAAGATTCAGGGAGAACTGAATTTGCCGCAATTGAGTTAACTGCCTTATTTTTATTTGCAGTTCGATTTTTTTTAAAAGTATTGATACAAATTCTATAAAACAAAAACAAAACAAAAATTACAGCGCATTAATTTTAATAATTATAATATTTGCATTTCAGTGTTAATAATTATCAATACAATTATATAAAACTAAAGAGAAAAAATACAACATATTAATTTTAATAACTCAAATTTACCTAAAATAAATTTGTTTTTATTATATTAGTTTGTCAATACATTTCAAATTATTTTCGACTGCTAAAATTATTTTATTTCATTTAGATGTTTTGACAATATATAGAAGTATCATACAACATATTACCTATAAATTTAATTTGTTGAACCGAAACATACTATTAATACCAAATATATTCAGAATGTATTTCGCACACCTATCTAATCAATCTAAAACATCAATAAGTAACGCAGGTACAACATACAACCTTGAGATTATAATGTGATGTTTTCCTCAAATACTAAATTTTCAACACATGCAGCAATGTACAAAGAATTTATTTTTAACATAATTTTTTAAAGTATCGCGCAATAAAGTTTAGTTTATGTTTTGTATTCTTGCAATTTCGTTCTGTGTCTTCTCGCACGAATTGTCACAGTTGCCACAAGGTTGCCACACGATTTACCACGGTCATCTAACGATCACCCCACGATCAATACACGGTCATCTTACGATCACCCCACGATCACTACACAATCATCACATGGTCACCACTCGATCACCATATAACACATTTCTTCTCCGGAGCCATTGAAGAATTACGTTTACAATTATAAACTTTTGCAAATTCGTCCATGTTTCTAAGTGGCCCGAACGACCTGTAAAACAATAATGTTATTACTATTATTACTTTTTTTCCAAAATGTAATGCTTAAAAAATCATACACAAATAACAGAAACAGAGATCTAATTGCAAGGACGTTATATTAGTAGACTAAATGTAGATTAATAAATGAAATTGTATAATTCTGAATTCGTAATCGTATATACCCATATTAACTTTATAAGCTAATAATTTAGATGCTTTGATTAAAATTGTGTAACAGGTGTCAGAATGATACATTTTTAAAGTTGTTGCTTTTAATCAATTTGTATTGTGCCAACTTAAACTACCTTTTTAAAAAGCCTGCAACTTAAAACAAAGTAATGTTATCTGTGAATGATGGTGGTAGTTAAAATGTTCGAAGAAGATCCAGGAATTGAGCATTTTACAAACCTGGCAATTTGAAGTGGTGCCAGAACAACAACTTGCCAGCCTTACTTTGCTGTTGGTGGGGCTACAATAATTTACATAATTTTCGGCAATAGCACTATATTTTACTAGACTTACTCGTTTTATGGGGAGGTGCAATAGTTTAACTAATTTTATGTAATGCTAAAATATTTGCAATGTTTAAGTGGTGTTGCGATATTTTACCAAGATTATTGTGCTTTATGTGCAGAGTTTCTTCCAGGCATCTCTTCTACCGAACGAAATGAAATTTATATAATTTATATAGAAAATATATACTTTTATCAGTGTCCGCCCACCCCCCCCCCCCCCCCGAAGAAAGTCTACCGCCTTAAAAAAATTTCACGATTTCAGGTGCCCCCCCCCCATAGAAAAAGTCTGGAAGAAACACTGTTTATGTGGTACTATATTTAACCTAATTTTAGGTTATGCTAAAATATTTTAATTGCGTTGTTAATGCGGTGTTACAATATTTTATCAAGATGATTGTGTTTTATGTGGAACTATAACATTTTACCTACTAATAGGTGGTGAATGCATTGACTTCCTTTGAAGTGTACTACGATATTTTACTTGCGTATGTAGCTATTGCTACGAAATTCTACTCGCTTGCTGTGTGTGTTTTAGGTAGGGATGCTACGATATTTTATAAACTGCTTTAACGTGTTTATGGTTACAGTTTTTGCTACAGTTTTTCTTTACTTGTCTTACCTTATGTAATCGGGCGCATGAACTTCGGTTTTAGTGTAAAAAACCTTTAGGTCTTCTTGATATTTAGAACACCACATCTAATAAATAAATAAATTTAAAAAATGTTATAATTAGCTGGCAACTGAACGCTATTGAAACAAAATTTCTAAAATTAAAACCGGTGAAAGGGGTGCTCTATGGAACAACAAAAGAACATTGTTAAGCGGTCCAGGTTTCAAGTTCTTAAGTGAAAAAATAGAATGCTGTTTTACGTAGTTAAAAGTAGGATAATTACTAAGCATACGTTAAATCCATTATTGTGTTGTCATTATTGTTACCAAAAAAATAATATTTTTAATATTTTAACATTTTTAAAGTGTGGGTAAATATTTACCTGGGCAAAAGACAGAAAGAAAATTTGGTTCTGGATCAAGTCCAATTGTGGAAGCTTCTCATCCTCAAAGCCTTGCTTTTCTATCAGGTTTCTGTAGGCCTATTTTTGTTTGGTTGGGGGGGGGGGACATTTAAGGTAGAAAGGTTTTATTAGCAGTGTGTATAAATATATTGTAGGTCTATTAAGTATATTCGATTAGATAATATGGGGTACTATTATTTAGCTTACAGTTAAAATTAATAGAGGTACATTAAAATCAATGTTTTTATATGTAGCATGTATGTATATATATATATATATATATATATATATATATATATATATATATATATATATATATATATATATATATATATATGTATGTATGTATGTATGTATATACACATGTATATTTATATATATATATATATATATATATATATATGTATATATGTATTTATATACATACATATTTTTTAAATGTATATTATTTTATATTATGTTATTATACAAATCTCTCGCTGCATAAGTGTTGTTTTTTTTTATATTGAGGCTTCAAGTCCGGGCGTTTTCGAACTGGTTTATGCCCCCACTAGTATGTAAACATCAAGGAAATTTCAGACCTAACAGTCGAAACTGAACAAATAGGCCCTAAATGTACTGTTGAATCAGCTTGTAAGCACAGTTTGTTGGACTGGCAGCCATATTGGAGACCAAGCCATGACCAAACAGACCCTGATGACTTACTTACCTTATAGCTTGCTGTGATTCCTACACTATCGCCTATGTTCTCGTCAAGGTTCAGCCGCCCATCTATCT